CACTAATTTCGAGCTTTCAAACTTGTTTGAATCTTCCAATTAATTCATTTAAAGTAAACATTCAGATAGTCCTTCCAGTAATCTTACCAAATTTAATCTGATCTATCACACATGAGGGGACGCAAATCGTCTGTACTGTAAGTATCCCGGAGAGTCCCCTACATTTTCTTAGACTTTTAGTCTGAGAAAATGTATGGGACTTTTTGAACGCTCCAGCCAGCTTTCCTGTAAGGTGTCATAATCCTGTTGCTGCTGACATCGATGTGACAGATAATTGCTTTTGCACTGTTTTCTTTGCCGGCTTATACTTGTCATCAAGTTTCAGTAAGACGGCTATCATTTTTCACAAGAATAATGAAGTTTACGTAAATTGTGAGATCGGATGCAAGAGCACGTGTTCAACTATTTCCCTCTTCTTGCGGAGCTTGATAGGTACTTACAGTGCAGGCGATTTGTGTCCCCTCATGATCAATTGTCTATGAAACGGACTTCCCTCTGAATATTAGTGTAACGCGCGACATTTCAGTAAATACTGCTTTCAGAGGAACGGTTTTGCTTTGCTCGTACTTTTTATTCACGCTTAGCGTTATGCGATAATAATCGCCATGATGTCCGACAATTTTAACAGACGCTCGTTGTTGTTTACTAGCCTTAATTGAGAAGAGTCGAGTACGGCGCCATGTTGACGGTGAGCGGATTTATGTTTAATATTGTTTGTAATATGTCGCTCAAAATTCCAGTTAATATTGCCTTAATGAGAAAAATGGTTTCGCTCAGTCGTACTTTTACATTTACTCTTACGATTTAAGTAAATTGAACGAATCAAATCGTTCGAACAGTAGCGGCGGTCTTGCTTACTTGTAAGCAAATGTTTTCCAGCTTGACATTAAGGGACTTAACGCAAACTCCATACGAATTAGATTTTATTTACTTATCCTAAGAACCCAAGTCAACCAGTTTTGCTGCTAGCCTCTAACCGTAATCTTTTATGACAACGATTGTGACCAAATCCTCACGTAAATGTTTAGTTTGGCCATGAGCATTTGTAAGAACAGCATGCACTATTGAAAGGTTGAGCCAGGGTATTTAATGCAATCTACCTAACGTAGCATGTTGCATTGTGGAAAATACAGCAAAATTATCTAATCATGCATTTTTAAACAAAGGAAGTAAAGTTATAGACTCGCCTAATTCAACTTTTGAGGGCTTAAGGTACAGAGAAATTAATATGGTAAAAAGTTACAGTTAATACAAAGTTGAAAGTTTGAAAGCTAAAAAATGTGTATTACAATCGTAAAACCCCATGCATCCAAGCAAAAATAGGGTCAATTACCACCATAACTTCTCCCAAACATTCATGCTCACAGGAAATCATTAATTTTTGCCACTAGGTGGCACTGTAGTTACAGTAATTCTGTCAGGGACAAAAGCATTTTTCTTTTCAGCTACCTCATAGACCGAGAAGCCTGATTAAGATACACAATTTTCAGAACTTTATTTATGTCAACAGTTGTTAACCCCGAACACATAACGTGGTTTGCCTGTGTTTTTATAAGAAAAAATCCGATCAATTTCCCACGTACTACTTTGCATGCTCTCATAAGGCACGGTACAATAAGCCAATCAGAATCCTAAAGCTGTGAAAAACGTCAAACCATCAAAGTTCACAATCTGAAACAGTCCGGGCTATAGACAGTTTTTTCTATACAATTTCCTTTGATATGACTGATCTAGACAAGACCAAACCAATCTGACTATGTGACCGAGAGAAGATTGTGGCGATACTTTTCCTTGCTGGCTTTCTCGTGGCGGCTAAGTTGTGCTGCAAAGGAGACGACAGAACAGAATTAAAAATTTCAAGAGACATGTTTGACTTATTTATTTCTGTATTTCTGTGCTACAAATCTAATTTTCGACAGAAAAATTCTATCCGTTTCTGGTGAGATGTCTGAAACGACACCTCGTGGAAGGTAGGGGACCGATGAAATAACATACTTCAATCTTATCAGCAATTTCCGAATGAACGCTTAAAGGAAATGTCTCGTATTAGAAGTAGTTCTGCAAGAATTTCAGTGAACCCACATAGATCAGCTTTAAGCGCCGGTTGTTTGTTTGCTTGATTTGAAGGGCCCCCTCTAGCTTTTTCATACAAGGGCAGTCTTGTTCACGATAAATTCTCCGCAAAGAAACTTTATTCAATTCTATCCCTTTCCGGTGAGATGTCTAAAAGACGCCTCGTGGGAGGTAACAACTGATGAAATACTCCTGGTTGTTATTGTTTTGAATGAAACTGAAAGTTCAGTTTTAAATAAACTCTCGTCAGACCGTCATACTGGACAGTCCTTTATCATAAAGTCGATAAACTGTTCTTAAAAAGGAGATATGATTATCCATGAGCCAAGTCACAACAACAACGGCCGTGTACTCGGACTAAACCAACATGCCCTCGACCTCTGTTTTAATAAATGTAAATAACTTATATCGAGGTTTACTGTATTACTTTTCTTTTTTCAGAAAAAATCGGACATACCTCAAATTTACATGATACTGATAGCAAGTGTGTCCTCAACCGTCCCAAATAAGTCATTGCAGCTCAACTTTAAATTGTGATTTGTCCCACAGATTTCAACCGACGCCATTTAAACTGGTGTTGACGCAAAGTTCTCTCTGTGCTTTATCAAATGAACTGAGTCCCAGTGGCCACAAAAATCAGAAACAAAGATGCGGGACTAAAATATGGGGCTGGCCTAAGTTTTTAAAAATTGGACCGTGACACTATGTTTCATAGCGTCATGGTATAGACAAAACAATGTATGACACGGTCTGAGCAGTAGTTTACAAACTGAAATATTTCGCCAGGTCGAATCCAACAACATTTTTTCCTGAAGCTTTTTAATCTTAATGCATTATCTGAAAGTAAAATGTTCAGCGAATACTGGCAGAATCGTGGCTCATAAAAACACTCAAGCTTTTTCACTTAACAATTAGAAAACAAACGACTCAAAGCGTGTGTTTTTTGACTGAACGACAGCCGAATCACAGGAGCATGAAGATTGTTTGGGATGAAAGCACTGTAAAATTTGGCTGCTGTGACTGAGACGGCCTGCCACTTGGGGCATCACATAGGATATCACAGCAAGCTCTTAGTAGTTCACTCGCAGTGCAGCAGATGTAATTTATGAGGCTTGCTTCCTTACGATATCACCGGAGATTGCCTTAGTAAGCTATCCGTACGTGATAGGCCACAACATGATGGCAGTCGCTCTTACAACGTCATGTTTGAAGATATTTTATCAGCTATTCAAGTTTCGTTACATTTTTCATCATTCCTGTTTGGTTTTTTTTGGTTTTTGAACACGAAAATATTTATACTGTACGAGTGTTAGCTGCGTTTGAGTTTTGTTACCTTACGTAATCTTACAATCTAAATGAGCTTTAAAGCTTTAAAAACACCAACAATCCATTAAGTTTTCTCTTTGGTGATTTTCGTCTCTGCTCACGTTATAATAACGCTAATTACTGCGCTTGGAATGTTTACAAACCTTTGTTTGGTTCTTCTATTGCTAATTGGCGGCTCGCTTGTTCCAAAATTTTACTTTCAATTAACGAAAAAAGCTAGAGCCGAAGTCTGGGCCGATGGACGGACATTGTACAAATAGGGAGATGGCGTGACAGCTTTTGCTCAGCTCCGTGTTTTGTACTCTGATAAAATACGCTCTTTCAATCAATGACAGCGCGTTATATCCGAACTTTACTATAAAATAGTTAACATTCCTCTGCAGAGACTCTTTTGGAGGAACCGACCAGAACAGGCCTTTGGTACTGGAGTATCTTTAAAGAAGGTGGAGGAGGAACAGGGGTGAGTTTCTTGATTTTGATAACTTATGTCCTAAAAACCTCTCTGACATGTGTTATTAAACATCAACTTTGTCACTGTTAGGTTTATGTATATATATTTTGTAAAAGTAATCCCCAATTATCAAAGAAGTTAAGGTAGAGGTTAATTTAAAACATTTGGAAATGAAGCAAGCGATGGGCGGTTGAAATCCAAGTAAATGTATGCAGGAAGATTTTGTAGGAGAAATATGAGCCCAGAAAAGCCAGCAAATGCACATGTGATGTGCAGTAAGTGGTCTCAAGCCGCTACGTTACTCAAACCAAGGATAATTTCCCATGGATTCGGTCCAGGCATGTGTAGTATTTGAATTTAAAATAAGGCACATCTTGTATACAAAGAAAGTGAACTGAAGAAAATATAGTTACCTAGAATAAGAGAGTTTTGACTTATCTTGGGACCTATTATCATATCAATCAAGAAGTATATAAGCAACACTTTATTTTATTTGTCATGTTATTTAAAAGAAATATTTTATAAGAGTAAACTTTTTTCATGTTTTCATACTCTCATCTAAACACTCGATTTCCTCTTCAGATCTATTGTGTTAATTTTTTCAGCAGACTCGCACTTGAACTAATTCTTTGGGATGAATCTGATTAAACCCATCTTTAAACAGTAGTTATATAAAATAGGTAACTAATATTTTTCCCTCTTCATCTTGAACAATTTCAGTATCCTTCTTCCCATCCTCCGATAAACTAAAACTTCTTATGACCTCACTTGGCATTTCAAATAACGGAAAGCCAATTATAAGTCAGTGACAATCAATAGTATTCATTATTCCAAAGAGGTCAAAGCCTAAATGCATGAAACACCCAGGTTTTTGGTAAATATCGCATGAAAAAGCACATATGCTGTAAAACAATGCCATTTGGAGTTTATTTTAATTTGTAATTTGATAATTAGATCTTTTTATTGATTCATGTTAAAGAAAGTTAAAGTATCAGCCTATCTGATAATGCTACATGTTTGCCTAATATATGTGCAGAAATTTTCAGTACAGTGTACGTTCAGTACATGTATATTGTGTACAGACCATCACATTTGAAGTGAGTATATTACTCCTCTACGATAAGGCAATGATTGAGTTTTTATTCTCTTGCAGTGGAATCGTCCTTCAACTCAATATCAAGCTTACACAGTCTGTGATATTGCAAACAAAAAAGAAACAAAGAACTGGTTAATAGCACAGTTCATTAACATCAAGAATGCTAAACGACTCGATATTGAAGTGACCTATACCCTCCTTAACTGCCCCATAGCTAACGTGGGGCCATTCTGCAGAACAAACTTCTCTCTGTATTCTTATCATACTGATTACAAATTAAATCCAGATCCAACAAAACTAAATTTTAACAAAGAAACTGTTATAACTCCAAAAACTCTACCTGCGCCTGGGGAGCGCACAACAAACACATTTTATGGTTCAGTTTTAACAAAAACAAAGGGAATTTATCTAGCATTATTAGACCAAGGAGCTTGCTTGTTATTAAAAAAGTTTGTGTTGAGATATCATTTCTGCTCTGAAACGGTCGCTTTCAAAATGGTTAGATTTTCAAGAACAGTTGCCCCAGCAAACGACAGGAATTTAACCAAACAAGAAGGAGAATGTACAGATCCTAACTCGATTACGAAATACAACAAAAAGTTGTTTGGCGTGTGTCTTAGTAATGGGGAGTGGAACATTACAGATAACTCAACCTGCCTTTGCAATTATGGTTATGAGTTGACGAATGGATCTTTTACATGCAAAGGTAAGTGCTGCACTTAAAACCTGGATTTGCCTCCGAAGCGTTAGGTCCAAAACAGATATTTAATCGTTCAAATGGCTAAACATCTAAATGACCACTACATTTGATTATCGTTTAGTAAAAAGCGTATAGAAGGTTCGATGCATAACTTACATGAAAATGGACTGTTTGGTCGTACTTCACATGTTCATATAAATTCAATCGGTGGACGTAGTTAACTAAATACTCAAGGACATAAGAACTGGAAAAGAAGACACCAGGACAAAGAACCTCTTTTTGCAGTTGGTATTCTCTTGGTTCTGAAGGAAAGGCATGTTGACGAAATTTCACATTGTTTCATTTTAGAGTGTCAGAGAGGCTTCTATAAGGATTCTGTTAGTAATTCAAAATGCGTGCCTTGTCCTGCAAATTCAGCATCTGATACTGGCAGAACTGGTTGCACGTGTAAAGAAGGTTACTACAGATCATCTAATCTGGCAGATTGTGAAGGTATACATGTATATATTAGTGTTTGGTCTTGTCCTAATCGTTGATTAACAAGAGTCCTAAAGCCTACAGAGGTTCGTTTCGATTTTGTCTCAAAAGAACAAAAGGCTCTCCAATGTAACGTTCTACTTAATGCTTAAAACATCGATAGGGATATATGCGTAATTCCTTCCACCACCAACCCAACAACAGCATAGTCTGTTTTGGCTATGAGAGAAGTCTATTTCCTAGAATAATAAATTTGGAGCAAACAGAGACAAACAAGGAAGCGAAATCTTTCTGCCAGCTCACCTAAAAGGACTTAACAAGAAACGGGTGGGTATGCGGGAAAAACAACGCCACTTGACAAAACACTGTTCACGCTGCGAGAGAACTAAGAAAACTGAAACCTAGTGCTATAACCGATAAAGAATAGACAAAGGTGTGTTGCGTGGCATGTGGCAATTAATCGCTTTGCGCAATAGCTCCCAAAAAGGGAATATTAACCAACTGTGCGGTCAATATGGCTCTATATTGACCGAGTTCTTTCTTTTTTGGTCTCGGTCCTGAAAACACAGAAAAAGAGCAAGGATAATATCCAGCCATCTTGACCGAACGAACTTGGTCAATGAATGATTAATTGTATCGGCGACTTCATCGCCGACATTGTCCAAAAATAACCGCTCCATGTACTTCTTTCCTTTGCGCGGAATCAAGGACAACAATCCCTAACGGGTTTGGCAGCCAGTCAGAACACAGAACACGCTTTATGTTACTTATGGGTGCTGCCGGCGCTATGAAATATGTTATTATGATAAAGTAACCTACATGTATCATGCGTGTAAATGTCAGAAAGAAACCAGACTAGTGTTGCTAAGGACTTCTCTTGATAGAAAATCGTGCCCATTATTTTCGTAGAAGCTCATAAAGAGGTGGAAAGGCATGCTTCCCCTGAATACTTTATAAAATACAGTCCTTTTTGATGCCATTTCCAACATATTAAGATCATATTCAATTGAAAATTTTCTTGGATAACCCGATTGTTACATTTTTTAACCACTCAGTTAAAGCGGTCGCCTCTTGGTCCCTGTTTACATTTTTGATAATGGTATTTACTTTAATGCGGGAAATGAAATGTTGGTCATGATATCCAATGGAGTCACAAAATATCAACAAGTCTACGTTCATTTGTGTCTAATTGCAGTGTCTTTTTATTCAAATGTACAGTCATGGAAAAAGCACTGATCAACATAACCATGGTCATCACCAGTGAAAGTTGTGCTGATGGGAAATACGACATATCTTCATTACTGAAGAGACTCAAGGAAGTGGTAACCATTTTGTTTAGAGCAATATTTCTATTTATATCTTTAATTCTTTCTTCTATTTCTGCCGTTGCAGATCATACAACTGCAATTTTAGTTTTTGTTGTCGTTCGATAATGGTTGGCCATAGAGACCTATTTTAATAAACTCAAAAATTCCAAATGAGCCTGTTCAGCGCTTGCATGGGCATGCCAGGAAGGTTTATAAAAGAGGTTTTTTTTATGACAAATTGGTAATATTCTTTAGTTTTTTTGTCAGTGAACATTTATATGTTTATCTAATTGTGTGTTGGTGTTTAAAGTGCTGGATGAACTCCTCGAACTCCTGTTCAGTTTCACTTTTCTATTCCTTCTTTAGATGGAAGAGGCTTTTGCATGGAGATTTGCAGGTTTCAAAAGTGTGCAGTTGAAAAGTAGCATCAGGTTTTTAAATTGCCTGGATCAGCAAATGAATTATAATTTTCCGGTTTCTAGAGCACTCCGCCTTCTAATGACCCTCGTTTTTTCTCTTAATCAAGGTGTGAAAGTATAACTTTTTACCTTACACTCATAATCGATTCCAAAGTAAAAGAGCAAGATGTTATAATAGTACTTCGTGATGCTTCCAGAGATGGGAAGCTTGGAGACTTCACTGTGAGTGCTGTAAAAAGGACAAGATTGCAAATTGACTTCGAAACTGGAACTAATGAAGCAGACACAATAACGTCACCTGGCAGTAAGCTTTAATCCTTCGATACAAACATTATAGTTGATTGGTAGCAGAAATCTTAGTTCATGATATGCTTCAATTGGAGTGGTTAATCATAAAATGAGATTTAATCACTTTCAAGCGAAACGCACTCACATTATGCACGCTGTACAAGTATATTCAGTATCTAGCTGGAACATTCTTCTTGTTTATGGTATCCATGTTGATGTACTTGATTGTATCGACTTTTTAAACATCATACATACACATCTTAGGGTCATTCTTGCTATGAGTAATTATTGTAAATATAAGCTTTTAGATTTCTTCAGGCTGCTGAGTCATGCTGACTTGCATACCATAGAACTTTCCAGAACATTTCATCGAGTCACGCATTTATAATATAATTTTCTCGTTTCTGGAAGTAAATGTCGTGAGAACAATAGGCATTTTGCCCGATTCTCTTATCTCAGCAGAAAGTAAGAAATTTTACAACACAATTGTGACGAACTAGATTAGAAAACAAAACATTTGGACTCAGGATCCAACGTAGATTACGTTACTTTTAATTCTCACAACACATAGAGCACAGTTATGATAGAGAAATGATCGTGAAAGTGCCTGCACGTAAACTTATATACTGCATACAGACTGCTTGAATCCTAGAAATGAGCCTCGAAGAGTAAAGAAAAAAACTTTTATCAAGCTAAGTAGTTAACAACTGTAGTGCAGTGTACACCAAAGAACTTTCATTCGTTTTGTTGGCTCGTATTTCAAAGAGTAAGTAAGGTTAGGGTATGGGTGGAAAAACTACCTGTAATTTAGTTCTCATACTTAGTTGAACCCCTTCTTCTAGGTAACTTGTCAGGAATTAAATAAAAAGTTGTATAAGTAGCAAGAGGCATCATGACTAAAACGGTTAAGCGGAGGATTGCCATAATTTAGTTTAAGGAGGCATATATTTCATATGTTGTTCAACTCTTGTTTTTAAGGTGCCACAGGGATCACTGTTAGTGTAGTGGTTGGATCAATTGCCGCGCTGGCTGTTGCTGCTGGGATATTTGTCTTTTTCGTATGGAAGTGGAGAAAGAACTCAAATGGTAAGAGTAGTATTAATGTCAACAATAGCCCCCAAAAAAGTCGCGTAGTATCAAGCAACTGAAAACAGTTTATGTTTTTTATAGCCTCGTCTTAAAATAAGGCAGGTTACTGGATTTCGAAACAGTTCTAATAAATCCCTTTAAAAAAACAGATTTTTGGTGTCCAGCACCGTTATAAAAGATGTCATGAAATTATTGGATCGCTTACAAACTGAATACTCTAAACTTCTAAGGTTCCCTGAAACAAAGGTGGCAAATGTGCGATGAAAGAACATTCAAGAAAAAACAACTAGATTCCACCGCAAAAAACACTGAACAAAAGGAGTACGAGAAAGTGTCCACATCAATTTTCAGTGTAAAGGTTTAAGTCTGTGGAAGCCAGAATACCTGATATTGTGAAATAACGCGCAACGCGCGCGAATACTATAAGATGTAGTTTGAGAATCAGAAACAGTTACGTGGCACGCGGACCAGAGTGTCACTGAAGCCCCTGAGTGTTTAGGTGAGGCTGGATGAACACGGAAAATCTCCTCTATGATCTGTTGACTTGATGAAATATACACATATCCAAAAATTTATGACCGTGATTATATGCTCTCGTTTGATCGGGTTCTATAACTTTATAATTTCAATTATAGCCCTAGACTTGGCGACCACTTTCAACTTAAATGGTCCATGTGTAAAATGAAGTACATGTCAGAAGACATTATTCTGCGTTGCCTTTGAATTGTTTGTTACTTTCTCTTTCTATACTTTTCGAGATGGTTTTCTTTGCTATCTTCTCACTGTACGTTTTTCATGTTTTTCATACTTTTTTCTTTTTTATCGTTTTAGAAACAGGAAGAAGAGAGAGGTGAGATTTTTAGAAAGACATAGAATCGTCCAATTTCCTGTCTTGTTTTTGATACCAGTTGTAAACTGCGTACAACTGTGAATTTCAAGCATGGATTATGATAGCTACGCTTAGCGAAAGAGCTTCATCTAGAGTCAATTTCCCAGAGCATCCGTAACGTGATTTCTTTAAAACTAGACGAGACACGAGACCTTTTGAGAATTGAGTATTCAGATATAATAATCTTTTCTGAGAGGCAGTCCACTCAATGAAAGGCACAGATGCCTGGCTCTTAATGTTTATGAAACCTTTTTTGAGCCAATACAGCAGCGCAAAATGTGGCATGTTGTCACTAATCGTTTCATGACTAATACTTCTGTAGTGCCTAGATTGTGCTTTCCCAGCTAAATAAATCGTCAACGTGCTTCTTCGATCGAAAATGTGATTTTCTTTTTATACTTTTTAGGACAGACAGAGATACAATTGAGGAAACAGGGGATGTTGTTGTAAGTCCCTGGAAGATTTTAACTCCTAACCTTATTGTGGTACAATACAGTATTTAATTTTTTTTAAGAGGGCACGGTAACGAATCCTTCAATCTGATTGCTTCTTAAAGCAGTCCGGATTTTCCTACCTCTGCCAATGGGCACAGTAACGCTTTCGTGGATCGCGGAGTACATTCCTAGCTTCGTTGCAATTTTTTTCATAAATATATGTTGTTTTAACGGATGAGCAGCAATTTTAAGCACAAACTTCTAAATTTATTAATAATTATTTGCTCCCTCGTTCTCAAATCAATTTGTTCGCTTGGATTACTGTTCCGAAGTTTGCATAGAAGTCTTCTAAATCACCGTTATCATTACGCAAATAGAAATGTTCGGTAAAGCCTAAATCATTAAGTTATCTCCTTTACTTTCTACTCGCTAAGACATTGTTCAGTTTATAGAGGATCTTCCCATAATTACAAGCACCTTAAGGTTTAAGGAAAAAATAAAAACGTCACATACTAGCCTTTTTCGGTCCGTATTGGGAAAGCCTATGCCCTCTGTCTTGACTGAGAGCTGGTGGATAACACATATGTACTTTGGCAGATATTGGGGATCTCAGTTTATGTTATTCTCCATTTCAATTGCGTAATTACTATACAAAAACACTTTAAATAACATCACTGGAGCTTTATTTTCTTTTTTTTGGCACGATATGTTTTGTGTCTTTGGATAAAATGTGCTGTGTCGACAAAGTCATTTGCATTTGATGAAATTATTTATTACCAGCAACAGTTTGTCTATTAGTCTTCACTTATTCCGTGTTCGTATCTGTACCACGCTCGCTCTTCAATAATGTTATTTTATAAGATGCTTGTCAAGTACATTGTACAACTGATGGCAGAGACGATGCTCAACACCACCACAAATCAGAATGATCATCAGTGTAATCTGTAGGAAGCAGAAGAACAAAATTGAAAGTTTAATACGAGCCAGCACCTTTTCTTTTTTTTTTGTCTTTTACTAGCGCACTTCCAGTAACAACTCCCAAAGAATGGAAGATAGTGTCATAAGTGGTCATGAAATTCCTACAGGAAACAGCCGAAGAAAAATTAATATTTGATACGAGCTAGCACATTTTCTTTTTTTATTTTTTATATAATTATAATGATGGTATTATGCAACACATTCGCATGAAAATTGTTAACATGAACTACGGAATGAAAAAAAGGTAGATTTGAAAAACTTTCCGCCGTAGCCCTAGCTAATGATTCCTTTTATTATTTCAAACTCAAAAGACTGGACTTGAGATGGCGGAAGCTTCTCAAAGCCACCAGTATATGGCATTGGATGAGTGGAATCGGTCACCGGCGAACTGTCCACAACCGAGCCAGTCTGTCACTGAATACACCTCTATATATTCATCACCATGCTGTTGGGAGATTCCGACAGAGCTTGTGACTCTAGAAAAGGTCGTTGGTGAAGGGGCTTTTGGTCAGGTTGCCAAGGCAACAGTCATAGGTCTCCAGGGGAAACCAACGAAAACACTTGTGGCTGTTAAGATGTTGAAAGGTATCAAATACTTCAAATACTTAGATGTGCTTCAATGAAATTCCGAAGGTAACACTCCCCTGGAAAAACTCAACCTTAGGCAGGTAGCGTCAAAAGATTCAGCCTTCTTTTCAATTCTGAAGGTAGCAAGGCAAGCCCAATCTCCCCCCACAACCCCTCTTAAATGGGGAGAGTAGGGTTCATTTAGTAGTATATCTATTCTATCTATTCTTCAATCAGCAGTCAACTAAACGGGACCTCAGTTAGTTGAGCAGGATCGTGAGGTATCAAACAGACCATGAATAAATATGGACGCGATCCTCGCAGTTATGAACACCATTTAAGTAGTAGTGAAAATAACGCCCGAAAAAAATTCAGGCCTGTACGGGCCTTATTTTCTCTTTTACTTAACTAGTGTTCATAACTGCCAGGATCGATTTCATATCCAGATCGTTTCCTCAAACGTAGTTCATATGTATAATTTTCATATATTTACAGTCATTTATAGACCATGAATGAGTTGACCAGACCTGCGTAATTGAGAAATGACACGACGAGCTTCTCACGTGGTCTCAGCATGGAACTTGCTGGTGCAGCGCCCTCTGATATCAGAAGTCGCACAATTTTCTTACAAATTTATCAGAAGAACTATGTCTTTTCCCGAAAGAACATAACGACAGAGACATTTATTTGTAGAGAATTAAATTCTCGCCAACAATCGACACTCCTCCCTCCCACCTTTTCAAAAGTAGCAAACCTCAAAGACTGCTTTTCCGAATTCAAATTGACATAAGGATGGTCCCTTTCAACATAAAACCTCAGCGGGAAAAGGAAGAAATGTCTCTGTTAAGCGTATGCCGCTTAGCAATTGTTTGGTAGAAATCTTACGCTAATTAAATTCAATATCATTAAAGCATGGTGATACTGGTATAGCAGTGGAATGAAGGGTTTTGTTGTTATATTTGACGACTGAGATTGATGTTTGAAATTTATAGAAATTTATATTTACTTGCAGAGTATTACAGTCCCAATTCAGTCCGTATTTTTGAGCTTTGCACACGAGCTCCAAAGATAAACTTGTATAAGATATTTCACGACAATTACTATTTCATAACTTTGTGATTTTAGATAGGATGTTCAATCACTAAACAACACGGAGCTCAAAGTTCGGAAGAAAATGTGCCACTTATTTTGATTCAGCAAGTCAGAGAATATCAACTGATATTTTCTGAGGTCCAGTTACTGATATTGTTTTTAAAGGTAACAGCTGTTGGGTGATCATCTTGCAGATCACGCTTCTGAGTCGGACAGGAAGGACTTGTTGTCCGAACTTCGATTGATGAAGGAACTCGATGCTCATCCTCATGTTATTAAACTTCTGGGATGTGTCACGAAATCTGGTAAATATGGAAAAGTGTAATTTAATCGCCTAAACAGCCAAAACAAAGAGCAGATCTATTGCTCAATATAGGCATATTTCCCTGTTTACCATGCTTTACAGGGCCATTGATGGTGTTGATTGAATACGTACCCTATGGAGATCTACTGGGATACCTCAGAAAGAGTCGTGGATTAAATGATACTTACTTCGAAGACCCGGATATCAAACCACAGAGTAATCTGACGTCAGAGCAGCTGATGAAGTTTGCGTGGCAAGTTGCCGATGGAATGTCGTATTTGTCATCGATACCAGTAAGTAGGAACGCAATCTCTAGTTACTAAACTGTTTCTTTGGCATATGTTGCTGAAATATGACATAAGTCATTACTTTTCATTCTTTTCGTTCAATTATTCTGGACCTCTCAATTTATTAACATTAATGATTTTTTTTAATTGTCGTAGATTATCCATCGAGACCTTGCCGCTCGTAATGTGTTGGTTGGAAAAGGAGAAACGTGCAAAGTAACAGACTTTGGTATGGCCAGAGACGTCAAAGAGGAGAGCATTTATCAACGGAAGTCTAAGGTACCAAATTTGTTCACTTAGCTAGAGATCTGTGAACAGTCTGCTATGGGTGAAGTTGTACTTATCCTTGATCATGATCTTTTCCTCAGTTTTGTCGACCAATTCTATGTGTTTTTAATTTAGAGACGTCTTCCCGTTAAATGGACTGCCATTGAGGCATTGCTGTACGGAAAATATTCTACAAAGAGTGATGTGTGAGTACAAGGGCTTCATAAGGTCCATAAGCAAATTGGGTAAAGTGATTGGATGTCTAATGTATGTTATGCTTCGTATTTCTTAAATTGATGTGGATATGTGGAGGCATCCTATTTAGAAGGGGTGGTAATACCCCTTCTGGCTTTGAGTTATAAGTAACGGTCCAGGTCCCGCTCCTATTACAAGTCTAGTGTGCTTCCCACGGTGTTTTACCGAAGATATTTAATTCACCTTTTTTTTAACAGTACGGACCAGAACGTTTATTTCCTTTAATGCATCTCGTTTGTTTTACAGATGGAGCTACGGAGTTCTCCTCTATGAGATCTTCACGATTGGTAGGTCGCGAGATTAATAACCAGACCATTAACTTTAGCGTCAACGTGTCAACGAAAGTGGCATTTGTGTTGACTCGTGGTCATGAAGTAAGCATGGTGTACCATTCTCTGAGGAATTCAGTTTTGCCTTTGTGTTTTGTACCTGCCAGGCCACCTTAGATTGCCTCAGTCGCTGAACTTATTGGAAAAAACAAACAAACAAACAAACAAACAAACTAGGAACAATGGTACAGGAATTATATTGTAAAAATATATTTACAAGTGTCAGGCCCTTGAAGTGTATTTAGAGTACCCGCTTTATTTTAGGTGGTTCACCGTATCCAGGGAAGGATGCAAAAAAAATGGCAAAGTTGCTAGAGAGGGGATACAGAATGCCTAAACCACAACATGTGGATGAGAAGTTGTATGAAAAGATTGTGTTGTTGTTGTTGTTTTCTTTGTACGTTCTTATAGCGGTAACATTTATTTGAAAAGTTCTTCTCGTGAAAGTTGCGTGTGCAGCTCAAAATTAAACCTGTTTTTCTTCCTGAATGAGCTAACCTAGGGGAAATATTGGAATGAGTCAATGATCACGAGTTTGTCTCTTGTGTTCAGTAAAGAAAGGAACAAACTTTCCTACTGTATATTGCAACATTTTGTGCCTAACAACATCCTAACTGAGGGCAATAAGAACGTATACTGATATATCCTTAACGTCTTTGTGTTTCAGGTATGACATAATGACAAACTGTTGGAACGACGACCCTAACTTGAGACCATCTTTTGAAAATCTGAGGAAAGAACTCAAAGAAATGGAAAACCAGCACAAGGTAGATTTGTAGAGCTAATTTTGATCGTTTTAAGTTCCATCTGGCTTACGCAGGGTGACTTAAAAACGCAGAATATCGTCTACTTCAGGGTAGCAGATTTTGGATATTATAGTTTATTATGAAAATTACGGAAGTTTCAAAGCTACTTTACTTAAATATGAGGTAAGAATGATATAACAGGATTCCACCCAGTGTCCTTGCACAAGTTCCAAAGCTTGTTCACAAAACACGGAAGGGGAGTATGTTTTGTTCCTAGAATGAAAACCCAAAGTAAATGCAAAGTTGTATTGAGTTAATACCAGTGTAGTGCTTCGAACCTTTCGTTTAGTCTCCAGAGAGGTACACTACAATATTCCTTAGCTTTTTCTTTATTCTTTTCTGATATCGAAATTTAGAATCTACCACTGTCAAATGCATGTAATAATTGTGTGACTACGAGGTGTTCGAGCGTTGCAGGTCTATTTTATTTTCGTTATTTCCAAGTATATTTTCATCATCAACACGCTCTTTACGAAGGACGAAAAGTCAGTCAACACTTTTTTTTCTGCAGGGGCTGATAAACTTAAGCAATTACGACGATCGACTCTACGTTAATGTTGACGATCTTGCTGTGTAAGCGTATGCATTGTTATGGAGCAAAGGATTAAGTGATAAGTCTTGCAGCCCTAGGAGATCGTATACTATTTTCTCTGTGTATTTGAAGTTAACCTTTCATCCTTTGTTAATACAAAACAAGCTGTCTAACAGCGAAGGGAGGAACAGTATAACTTTCCTTTAGTTTCATGTGTATCTTTTAGTATTTTTGTCTTGAAATAACACACGATTTTTTAGAAATTTGTTACAAGTGATATAAATTAAAATTAATGTTTCAGACTAAATATTCATTCAGGAATTTATGAGAATAATAGTGTTTTTATGACATTTATTTGACGGCTGTTCTGTGAATTGCACTCTAAATCAAAGGATTTTTAATTAAGCTAATGATTGGACAAAGTCTTTTTCTTTTGTTATTTAAACAATTTTTTTTCCCTGAAATTTTTTATGTCAGGTTGATACATTTTTCTGTGTTGTACAGCATCGTAAAAATCAATAAATAGTTTCTATTGGTGACCACGATGGGGCGTTGAAGTCTTGAGCGGCATCCACTGTTAGGGAACCCATTTCCACTTTGAACAAGGCGAGGGTGAATGGGTATTCTAGTTCGTGGCAAGAACAACTGGCCAAGATAACACTGATCGTCACCGGCCGCTTAAGAATGCGTATAGAAAAATGCAACTGCATTGGAATATAGTTTCCATGAACATCAAGATGACGCCGATGAGGAACACCAATTATAAGATAGCGGTCATTTTTGCTTATGCGAAGTCTCGGAACATCAGGAATACGTCATATTCTCTCTTTTAGCAAATTAACATCAGTTTTCGGGGAATTTATCACAGAGTTTCGGCTAAAGTTATAGCTACGATAAGGTTTTTTTTTTAAAGTCCTATTTTCACACTGACCGAATCAGGAATGAGCGAACTTTCTGCTTTGAAGCAAGAGGATTTTTTTCCCTGCCCTTTTCGACTGTGTATAGAAAATCTAGAGCCCTGTAGTACATGTTAAAACGTGCCATGGGAGGAACACCTATTGTAAGATGACTACCGTTTTGTCTCGTTTGTACAGCCCAAACCAAGGCCGTAGATATTAATGAACCGCGCAAACATTGTTGGCACGTTTGAAGTGTCACAAATAAGGAGTGGGTCAAGTGTACACCACACCTATGAGCTTTTACCCTTCCCTTACTTGGCATTTCAGCCCAGGCAGTGTGCGCACCATGATTACGTTTCATTGTGGAAGCGTTATCAGAAAGTGAAAAGGCAGAAAGCGGCAGATTTTGACAAAACAATCCTTCAAAGTTAGGCTATATCTTTTTCCTTTAACCATAGTTTATCGTAATTTGACTCACACAGAATCGGAAGAAGTATGTTTTGTTCTTATTTGTCGCGTACTCAGTTGGAATTCAAGGACAAACGCAACGTTGTTTAGTATGGAATTTGAGACCGGTTTTTCTAAGATCTAATTTGCTTTACATCATAATTTGAAGCCTCTCAAAGATTTGGATGGCCGTTTTAACCTAATTTAACAGTCCTGATCAAAACGCTTCAAAAACGCTTTCCAACGGTATTCGTGTTTTTATACGTGTTTTGTACGTGTTTTTATTAGCGCTAATGTTTGAGACCGGTTAGGGCCGCTAAAGGCCTATTATTATTGCGTTACGTAGCGTTACCATTTTAAGGTGATTGTATGGTAAATATACTATTGAATAACTGACGGTTGAAGTAGAGCAATGAAAGGACTCACTTGATCTATGAATACTCTATATAGTGCAAGGCGACATCGTACATGACTCCATACACATCCAATGCACACCAATAGATTCCGATGGAAAACGTGGTTTTTAGATGGAATAGGCAAAATTCTATCCGTAACACCTTCCAACAGAAAAAAAATAATTCGGCTGGTGGAAATCAACACTTTTGCCCGATGTTTTTTAGTCCTTAATACAGAATCTCGAAGTGAAATGTTCAGTGAAATCCGGCCGAATTGAAAGACGCGAGTTTTTTCCACATGACAATTAGAAACTGGAACATAGAGATTGCTCGCGATAAATGCGCTCGCGATAAAAGCGCCCTAAAACTCGGCTGTTATGATGTGGCCTTCTGCCCAACGCATCGGAAAGGATAATAGAGCAAGCTCTTAGTTGTTTACTCGAAGGGCGGCCGTTGTAATTTCTGAGACTTGCTTCACTCTGATGACCGGAGATCGCCAGAATCAGCTAACCGCGACGGACCTCAGCATGATCGCTGAGTCTCTCTGACACCGTCATGATAACGAGGAATTTTAACAATTATGCCAGTTTGGCTATATTTTTTATCACTCCCGTTTTGTTCTGTGTCGTTTTTGAACACGAAACTATATATACTATCGGAGTGTTAGCTGTATTTGATGTTTATTACCGTACGTAACCTTGCAATTTAAACGGTAACCAATCTAAGCGATCATAAAAACCTTCAAAACTCGGACTATCCATTTCGTTTTCTCTTCGAGGATTTTTCTCTCTGCTCACGTTATAATAACGTAAGTGTGGCGCTCGGTATGTTTACAAACCTTTGTTTGGTTCTTCTGCTGCTCAGTACTTGACGGCTCGCGTGTTCCGTAGCACAGTTTGGCAAATGGCGTGACAGCTTCATCTCAGTTCTATGTTTTATATCCTGTTAGAGCACGCTCTTTCAATCAATGACAGCGCGCGTCATATCCGATCTTTGTAATAATTCTCATTAGTGCGATCAGTTTTAAGGTGATATTTCCTTATAAGACCCGGGTCGCACTTGTGAAATTTCGTTCCAAATTGTGTTTGTTTTAGGTTAAAAATCTGTCATCATGTCACGTTTCCTAATGCGACCGGCTTTTCGCCAGTTTGGAAAAAATTGGAAAAACCGACCAAACTTCAGAGACGCCGTATTGCATGGGTGGGGCAGGCTGATTTTGAAAAAATCGAGAAAAACAAAGGAAGCCGCTTCCGGAGCTGTCATCGCTAATCGATTTGACCCATTGCAGGCTGATCCTAACTGTATCGGGGGGAACTTGTAATTATTATTACGCACGTGCTTCGGAATGGAAGGACGATATCCATATTATTATCCGCCCGGATCTTTTCCTGTCGACTTCAGGTACTACAACCATCCCCAGGTTCGACGAGACTTGCAACTGCCAGGGCCTAGCGGTGTTTTGGCAGTCGGAGACCCAGCTAGCCGATCCATCAGCCCAACAACAACATCGAGCAATAGCCCGAGTGGTTCGACCGACGGAACTGTGAACGATGCCCTAGATGTGGAAGCGGAAGATGCTGCTCAGTCCAATAGAAAGCAGTACGATAAATGGACAAACGAAGAGCAGAAAGCACTTATAAACCTTTGGACTGATCGACACGAGCGTTTGGAAAGCAAAGACGCGCGGAAGATTTTGGAAGAAATTGCGCGGGAGATTAATCGAAGGTTTGGTACCACTCGCTCTGGAGAGAAATGCCAGAAGAAAATATCTCATCGAGAGATACAAAAAAATACAGTCATCAGACGGGTGGACACAGATGGAAAACTGTCTTCTACGATGAAAATTTGTTACATTGTCGCTTCCGGAGAAGCTGTTTTACAAAACATGATTTTAAAAGCACTCAATGACTGACCTCGATTTATTTCGGAGTGTCTGGACGTTTAGACGTCAACATTAACCGTTATAGTTTTGACTTGAATATATTGACATATATTTTTTCAATTGTACAATGTTATTATAATTGTATAATCTCATATGTGAAGAAATCATTTTTTTAGCAATGGATCATTGTTGAAAACAGAGTGATAATAAAAAAACCCAAACCAAACTTTGGGCAGCTTTAGTGTGGGTACGCGTGAAGGTTTAAAGGAAGTCTTTAAGGATTTCTCTTATGTTATCCCCGTCTCCGATCACGTTTGGAGCTTGATCTCCAGGGCCAAAATCATCTTCCTCTTCCTCGTCGTCCCATTCATCCCCGCTTCTGATGCAGATGTTGTGCAACACTGTACAGGCTACAGCATTACGTACTGCAAATGGTATTCCACTGTCAAATCGTTTCAGGAGTATTCGTGTTTCGCCTCTCTAATCTCGGGCCCAAGATATGGAGAATTGTTTCGAACGTGTTCCTGTTCACCCTTAGTTGCTGTCGAAAGTACTCCTCTGGAATTGTCGGGTCGTTATAATGGAGATCGAACCACGATTCGGCTGGCCGAGGAATAGTCCACGCTTAGGGCCTATTACGAACTTGACGGAAACGTCGTCGTCTTCTTAGAAGAGCAATGTTCAGCATTTCAAAATATTCATTTGCCCATCTCTGATACAGAATGAAAATGGCGAACATTTGCTGCTGTTGGATGTTAATATTTTGAAGAAGTAAAACGGCAATAGCCACGCAAAACGCCTGATTCGCATTCATGTTTACTAAAATACATTTGCCGCGCAGTTCGCGTGTTTTGATCTGAAATCTGATCAGTGATATGTAGTCTTAAATTGTAGTGCGACCCTGAAAATGTTCTCAAATTTTTGGCACTTCCGTTTGCGGTTTCAAATTTTTAGAAATTTTCGCGTGGGCCAATTTTTGTTTTTGACTGTAGTGCGACCCGGGCCTTATTCATAAGTTCTTTATGTTAGGCAAAGCCGGATGAGATTATGCAAAAAAAATTATTTTCTTCTTTGTGCTCCTAACTTTGCTTAGCTAATCTTTCTCACCGGCAGAAATAACTCCCGAGATATACTTCCCAAAACTGTCATCTGGGTATCCTCCACTCTTTATGCGTATTTTGAAACTCTGTACGCTTTTTATTAAATGTGGAGCGGGACGAATTCGTTCCTAAGAGGTGCAGCACTTCTCCTTTTACGAATTCTTTATTTGCGCCTGATGGATGAAACGTATAAAAATCCGTGCATTGGAAGGTCTTTCTGTCTTTGTAGTGTGTTTGCACGTCAAGGGTCGATTCCCAGTTAAATATCTTTCGTTTAGGAACGAAGTTTCTGACTTTTAATATTTATACAGCCATCGGCTGTGGGTGTAACTGCTGTCATATGGGAATAGATTCTCAGCAAAACTACGATTTGGATTCTTTCTGAAACTCGTCAAGTGCCTCCTTAGAATGAATTTGTCACGAAGGAACGTCTGGAGTCGCGCAGGCCCGTCAACACATTTTAACTTTCGGACGATCGGCAACAAACAGTGAATCTCTGTTCTCGCTGCCACAAAAGATGTTCACACGCTTACGACTGCCGCACGATGCAAATGACTTACTTTCCTTTTACGTCTATGATGCAACGTAACCAAAGTGCGCACATCGCCTGCTCCACCCAGTTCTGTGGTTACTGTTTCAGACCTTTTCTGTATGGTAATTAGATTTGGGCATACTGGTCTTCCGGCCTCGCCCTGGTGTCATCTTTTGACTCTTTATAACGAGATGAATATGTCTCATGTGACCACTAATCGCTTAAATCCTTGATGATGAAGTTATTCCGTGCAACTTTAGTTCTATGGCTAATCGCTATTTTGCGCGAAGTTTCAGGAGAAGCAGGTAAGAGTTCGCATCAGACGACTGAAAGGTGTTTTATTCCTTGAATGAACCTTTTAATTATGTTCAGCAAGCAGTCAGTTCGACAAGTTCTGCCGCGCTACACGACTCCGATGCGAAAGCCACTCAAGCGGCCGAGCCAAACAAAATTCATAAGAAACATGTTTTTGCATTTTTCCGCGATTGTGCTCCCACGGGTTGTTACCACAATTAATTGTTACATGGCTTCGGTAAATCCTGAACTTCGTGCAACTCTGAACAAACGCCTGAAACAGAGTCGAACTTCTCCGTGCGACACTTTTGAGCGTTAAGTAAGCTACCTATGTTAAATGAAAGAAGTAGAATGTTATTAAAGGCGGTTACATTTCTTCTCTCCGTTTATCACTGGAAGGCGAGGTCAGAGCGCCCTTCATGAATCGATGTTATAACTGTTGTGTATTCTAGACGATGGACTTTGACCAAAAACTCGATCTTTGAGAAGGGCGTTTCAGTTGATACTTCAACCTTTCTCAGCGTAAATTAGGGTAATTTAAACATCATGCGAATTTCGAGCTTAATGAGATCGAAGGATCGACGTAAATGACCTATTTTTGAGGCAGCATCAACTTTCTCTACTTCTTATGTTTCATATGTCTGGATACAGACCAGATAATTTTAGGCTGTTATGTATTTCGCTTCAAAATAACTTTAATTGGATTTCCGCCAAGTGATTAATATAAAACTGAAATATAGTTCCATTCACGTAATATATAGATTTCGTCAAGCCTAGAAGCGGAGCTCTTTTTAGTCACATGCAGTATTTGATGTCAGTATCAGTTGCAATTATATTCTATTGAGCGTGACTAATAATTTCGGTTGGGGAAAATGAGCCAAAATTAAAGGAGAGGGTAACGAAACGACTTCGAATAAAGACATCACCAGTCGATGAGAATAGTGGTTTCGTAGAACAATACGCAGAATTGTATGGGCTTCTCATATATCTTCTCTTGAAGTTGCAAGGTATGACCGCTTGCTCCATTGTTTTTTCCTTAGCGTTCAACCTCCTTTGACAAGCGTAGGAAATTAATAAGAAGAATCACTTTTAACTGTCCTCTGGCTGGAAATACAGGACTTCTCTTTGAGATTTTTTCTGTTATTAATTTGATAATATCTGCCGGAATTGCTTTTAATGTCAGTGTCTTCAAACCAACTGTCCATGATCTTCGCTACTGAAAAACGAAATTTTTCTGTCATGTTTCTCGCGCTGCGAAAGTTTGATTTAAAGGAAGAGAAGCTAGAACTAGAATATCATAATTAAAACTTGATAATGAAGAGAAGATTTGTCCACGAAGATATTTGTAGAAACCCAGAAAAAAAAACTAGGATTTCATTTGTACATAACAGAAATCAATTCAAATTATCGATCAAGTTTTTTCTTTAGTTTTAAAGTTGATGTTGTTATTAGCCACAATAATGAGGTTGAAAAGTTCTAGATGGTATTCTCTCATGTTTGCAAATAAATGATTTCTATTGAAGGTGGAGTTGTGGCAACATATTAACATGGAACACAGCAATAAATTTTATTGATCTGTAAAAAGTTCTCATTTGACCATCTACTGGCAAATACTTGTTATATATTTCACCCCAACCATTTCCCACAACCTGTAGACACCATTACGAAATAACTAGTCATGGAACTGGAAAATTTGCAGCATATCTACCATGTTTGTAATGCCATGTCCAGAATAAGGTAACAAGATTAAGGGGTGTGTATGTGGAAATAGGCTCGGTTGTACGTGTCATTCATTTGCTAATCGCCCCAGATGCCAAAGTTTGGATGAAGTTAGGTTGTCAAAGGTCTGAGGATTTTAGGAGGCCAGCAGATTTGGAAAATATTCACAAGGGAAGAAACTTGTCTATGTCGAGAAACTATCATTGTACAGAGCCATACTTGTGCTTGGTAACTCATTCTTATTCTGATGAAGTGGTTTTAGGAAGGATACAATACTTATTACATAAATTTGATGCATAAGCTCTGCACAAAACTTTTCTGTGCTTTTTATTCACGCTTGGCGTTATGTGATAATGATCGCCATGACAATTTTAACGGAAGGTCGTTCTTGTCTACTAGTCTTGATTAAGAAGAGTCGAGCACGGCGACGTGTTGACCCAATTCAGTTTAATTACACCTCATTTCTATAAAGACCTACTAGATTATTTCTCTGAAAAACATAAATTTTCCCTGACTTAGAGTGAAGTTCCCCAGACTTTTCCCTGACCTTAGGCAGCCTCATTTTCCTGACCTGATTTCCTAACTTGTGGATACATGAAGAAGGTAAAGTAGAATCTGTACTCGAGCCAAGTGGTCTATCCGGTCAGAGGTTATACCAGTTTCCGTAGCATGACGCGACTAGAAGCAAAACCATGGTCAACCCTCAAACGAAAGTTTGAAAGATCAGGAACATTCATTGTGAGCTAGATGCAAGTGAGTCAGCCACTGATTCAGAAGCAGTCAGGGCTACTTCATTTACCGGAGTACCCTTCTCTGCGTTTGAGGCTCTCCCGTTGGAGTCAGTGAGGAAGCTTATTGCGAATGCACCCACGAAGTCATGTGTAATTAATCCTCTTCCTACCAGTGTTGTTAAGGAGTGCTTGGATGAACTGTCACCCGCTATATCGTCCAGTGTAAATCTCTCCCTCGAACAGGGTCATTTCGTGGAAAGGGGCGCTGGTCAAGTCCAAGCTCAAAAAATCTGGTCTGGAACTTGATGAGAAGAAATATCGACCTGTAAGTAACCTCCAATTCTTGTCTAAACTTGCAGAGAAAGCAGCCCAACAAGCAGTTATGGCACGCGGGCTTTTCCCTGAGCTGCAATCGGCTTATCGGCGGTTCCACAGCACCGAGACTGCGTCACTTCGTGTTGATAATGACATCTTACTTAAAATGAACAAACGACATGTAACGTTATTGGTCTTCCTTGACTTGAGCTCTGCATTCGACACGATCGATCACACGGTATTGCTTCGGCGTATTGAGAATAAGTTTGTATTTTGTGGAACTGTATTGGAGTGGTTTCGTTTGTACCTGTCGGGCAGATTCCAACAGGTTGTAATAGAAGGTGCAACTTCTGACAAGTTTGACATCAGCTTTGGTGTACCGCAAGGTTCCGGCCTCGGTCTATTATTGTTTTCCATCTACACGAGTCAATTGTTCGACATTGTCACTCAACACTTACCCACAGTGCATTGCTATGCCGACGACACAAAGCTGTATCTGGCTTTTCGACCAGGTGCTCGTGCCTCTCAAGATTCGGCTCTTGCTGCAATGGAGGCTTGCATACGAGATGTACGGGAGTGGATGATTAATTCAATTAGAAACTAGGGTACCTGGTTTGATGCCAACTTTACAATGAGCACGCATGTTACAAAAAAATTGCAAAACAGGTTTATTTTACCTCCATAATATCAGCAAGATAAAAAAATTCTTAACTTAAGAAATCACGGAGAATTTAATACATGCGTTCGTTACGAGAAGTCAAAGCCGATGAACAGACATTATACAAATTGGCAGATAGCGTGACAGATTTTACTCAGCTTCGTGTTTTGTACTCTGATAAAACATGCTCCTCTTACCAATGAAAGTGGGCGTTATATCCGAACTTTATTACAAAAAAGTTTATAACATTCGTCTGCAGAAACTCTTTTGGAGGAACCGACTAGAACAGGCGCACGGTACTGGACTATCTTTAGAGAAAGTAGAAGCGGAGCAGGGGTGAGTTACTTGATTTTGATAGCCCATGTCGTAAAAACGTGTATTATTAAACATTAACTTTGTCGCTATCAATTACATCTATACATATTTTGTAATAGTAATCCCCGCTTACCAAGGAAATCAAGGTAGAGGTTAAAAAATTGGAAAATGAAGTAGGCGATGGGCGGTTGAAATCCAAATATATGTGGGCAGGAAGAGAGAAAATATGAGCCCAGAGAAACCAGCACATGCACAGGTGATGTACAGTAGGTGCTCTAAAACTTTTGTAACTCAAGCCTCTACGTTACTCAAACCAATGATAATTTCTCATGGATTTGGTCCAGGCATGTACTGTATTTTTAGTTAAGATAAGGCACATCTTATGTGCAAAGAAAGTGAACTGAAGAACAAATGGTCACCTAAAATAAGAGAGTTTTGACTTACCTTAGGACCTATAGTCATATCAAGAAGTAAATAAGAAACATTTTCCTTTATTTGTTATGGTATTGGAAACAAAATATTTATAGGAGCAATAGAGAACTTTCTATTCTCTCATCTAAACACTCGATTTCCTTTTCAGATCTGTTGTGTCAATTTTTCAACAAATTAGCACTGGAACTAATTCTTTAGGATGAACTTCATTAAACTCATTTTTAAACAGTAGTTATATAAACTAGATAACTAATGTTTTTTCCCTCTTCATCTTGAACAATTTCAGTATCCTTCTTCCCATCCTCCAATAAACTTGAACTTCCTATGACTTTACTTAGCATTTCAATAACGGAGAGCCGATTATAAGTCAGTGACAATTAGTAGTATTCATCATTCCAAAGATCAAAGCCTAAATGTATGAAACAGTAAAGTTTTTGGTAAATATCACATGAAAAAGCACGCACGCTGTAAAATAATGCCATTTGGAGTGTATTATAATATGTAATTTGATAATTAGATTTTGTTAATCTAGAATTATTGATTCATGTTGAACACAGTTAAAATATCAGCCCATCTGATAATGCTCCATACTTGCCTGACACATGTGCAGAAATTTCCAGTACAGTGTACGTTCAGTATATGTATGTTGTGCACAGACCATCACTTTCGAAGTGAGTATTTTACTCCTTCACGATTGATCAATAATTGGATTTTTATTCTCTTGCAGTGGGATCGTCCTAAGAGGGTGTCGTCTTACTTCAGCGTCTGTGATATTGCTTACACGATTGAGGAACCAAAGAACTGGTTAATAACAAAGTTCATTAACATCAAGAATGCTGCACGACTCGATGTCGAAGTGACCTATATCCTCTTTAACTGCTCCTTAGCTGACGAGGGGCCATTCTGTAGAACAAACTTCTCCCTGTATTCTTATCATACTGATTACAAATTAAATCCAGATCCAAAACCACTAAATTTCCACAAAGAAACTGTTATAACTCCAAAAACTCTATCGACGCTTCGGGAGCGCGCAACAAACATATTTTATGGGTCAGTTTTAACAAAAGCAAAGGGAATTTATTTAGCGTTATTAGACCAAGGAGCCTGCCTGGCAATAAGAAAGTTTGTTGTGAGATATCGTTTCTGCTCTGAAACGGTCCCTTCCAAAATGGTTAGATTTTCAAGAACAGTTGCTCCAGCAAATGACAGCAATTTAACCAAACAAGAAGGAGAATGTGCAGATCCTAACTCGATTACGAAAAACAACAAAAAGTTATTTGGCGTGTGCCTTAGTAATGGGGAGTGGAACATTACAGATAACTTAGCCTGCCTTTGCAATTATGGCTATGAATTGACGAATGGATCTTTCACATGCAAAGGTTAGTGCTGCACTTAAAATCTGGATTTGCCTCCGAAGCGTTGGGTCCAAAATTTAATCATTTAAATGGTTAAACATCTAAATGACCACCCCTTTTATTCATCGTTTGATAAAAAGCTTAGAGAAGCTTCGATGCATAACTTACATGAAAATGGACCGTTTGGTCATACATCACATGTTCATATAAATTCAAGCGGTGGACGTAGATAAATAAATCTATATTTATGAGAAGTGCAGCTGTGCAGGGAGATAAGTTGAATTTCGACCTGGACTACGAAGAAAAAAATGCAAATTTTCGAGTTCATAAAAAAATACAGGTCTTCCAATTCATAAATCCTGTCCCCCATTTGTCAATTTTTGTTGGTCGATTCTTCATTTCCTTTTTTGGTTTTGCAAAAATACGGGGTGTTGATTTTAGCGTCTTCGTTTTCGGGTCTTTGTTTTCATGTCTTGGTATTTAGGTCTGAAAACCCCAGGTTAGAGGTTGCATTAAATTTATAGACGCATGTTATTCAAAAACCTGAATGACGGTCATTATGAGAGTCGTAAGGAGTGAAGACAAAAAGAATTGTCTGGGTAACCAAGCCTCTGCTGATGACTATTGCCAAAGTTATCAAAATGTGTCTCAGATTCTGTCATAGACAGTAGTCATTTGCATGGCAATAATTTTTTGCCTAAAAAGCACGTTAGAGGGTCATTATATTGATGTGTTCTGAACAGGAGAATATCAGTTGATATTCTTTTGGCTCTGAAGGAAAGGCATGTTGATGAAATTTTACATTGTTTCATTTTAGAGTGTCAGAGAGGCTTCTATAAGGATTCTGTTGGTAATGCAAAATGTGTACCTTGTCCTGCAAATTCAGCATCTAATACTGGCAGAGCTGGTTGCACGTGTAAAGAAGGTTACAGCAGATCATCTAATATGGCAGATTGTGAAGGTATACATATATATATTAGTGTTTGGTCTTTTCCTAATCATTATCGATTCATAAGAGTCCTAAGGCCTAAAGAGGATCATTTCGGTTTTGTCTATGAAAATTCAAAATGTTCAAAGGAACAAAAGGCTCTCCAGTGTTACGTTCTACTTAATGCTTAAAACATCGATCAGGATATATGCGTAATTCCTCCCACCACCAACACAACAACAGCATAGTCTGTTTTGGCTATGAGAGAAGTCTATTTCCTAGAATAATAAAATTGGAGCGAACGAGGAAGCGAAATCTCTCTGCCACCTCACCTGAAAGGCCTTAACAAGAAACGGGTGGGTAGGCGAGAAAAACAACACCACTTGACAAAACACTGTTCATGCTACGAGAGCACTAACAAAACTGAAACCAGGTACTATAACCGATAAAGAATAGACAAAGGTGTGTCGCGTGGCATGTGGCAATTAATCGCTTTGCGCAATAGCTCCCAAAGGGGGAATATTGACCAACGGTTCGGTCAAGGGTAATATCCAGCCATCATGATCGAACGAGCTTGGACAATAAATGATTTATTGTATCGGGTAAAAATATTTCGTTTTGATAAGAAGCAAGAATAACTTATCTATTTCCAGAGCCGAGAGAGAAAGCCATCTGTGTTTGTAGCACAATAAACCCACGAGGGTTTTTTATGACTCTCTTCTGCCGTTTTTTGCGACTTCATCGCCGACATTGCCCAAAAATAACCGCTCCATGTACCTCTTCCTCTTGCGCAGGATCAAACACAACAATCCCTAACGGTTTCGGTAGCCAGTCAGAACACGGGACTCGCCTCATATTACCTATGGGTGCTGCCAGCGATATGAAAAATGTTATTATGATAAAGTAACCTACATGTATCATGCGTGTAAATGTCAGAAAGAAACCAGACTAGTGTAGCTAAGAACCTCTCTTGATAGAAAATCATGCCCAAATTATTCTTGCTCCTATAGAGGTGAAAGGGCATGCTTCCCCTTGAAACTTTAAAAAATACAGTCCTCTTTGATGCCATTTCCAACATATTGACCTGATTGTTACATTTTTAACCCCTCAGTGAAAGCGGTCGGCTCTTAGTCCCTGTTTACATTCTAGATAATGGTATTTACTTTAGTGCGGGAAATGAAATGTTAATCATGATATGCAATGAAGTCAGAAAATATCAACAAGTCTACGTTCATTTGTGTCTAATTGCAGTGTCTTTTTATTCACATGTACAGTCATGGTAAAAGTACTGATTAACATAACCATGGTTATCACCAGTGAAGGTTGTACTGATGGGAAATACGACATATCCTCATTACTGACGAGACTCAAGGAAGTGGTAACCATTTTGTTTAGAGCAATATTTCTATTTATATCTTTATTTCTTTCTTCTATTTCTGTCGTTACATACAGTTAAAATTTTAGTTTTGGCTGTCGTTCGATAATGGCCCGCTATCAAAAGAAATAGAGACCTATTTTAATGAACTAAAAAATTCCAGATGAGCCTGTTCAGCGCTTGCATGGGCATGCCATGAACGTTTATAAAAGAGGTTTTTGATGACAAATTAGTGATATTCTCAAATTTTTTTGTCGGTGAACATTCATATGTTTATCTGATTGTGTGTTGGTGTTTAAGGTGCTGGATGAACTCCTCGAACTCCTGTTCAGTTTCACTTTTCTGTTCCTTCTTTAGATGGAAGACGCTTTTGCTTGGAGATTTGCAGGTTTCAAAAGTGTGCAGTTGAAAAGTAACATCAGGTTTGTAAATTGTCTGGATCAGTAAATGAATTATAATTTTCCGGTTTCTAAGGCACTTCGCCTTGTAATGACCCTCGTTTTTTGTCTTAATCAAGGTGTGAAAGTGCAACTTTTTACCTTGCACTCATAATCGATTCCAAAGTAAAAGAGCAAGATGTTATAATAGTACTTCGTAATGCTTCCAGAGATGGGAAGCTTGGAGACTTCACTGTGAGTGCTATAAAAAGGACAAGATTGCAAATTGACTTCGAAACTGGAACTACTGAAGCAGGCAGAATAACGTCACCTGGTAGTAAGTTTTAATCCTTCGATACAAACATCACAGTTCATTGGTAGCAGAAATCTTAGTCCATGATATGCTTCCATTGGAGTGGTTAATCATGGAATGAGATTTAATCACTTTCAAGCGAAACACACACACACATTATGCACGCTGCACAAGTATGTTCAGCATCTATTTGGAACATTCTTCTTGTTTATGGTATCCATGTTGATGTACTTGGTTGTATTGATCTTTTAAAACATCATACATATTCATCTTAGATCATTCTTGTTATGAGTAATTATTGTAAATATACACTTCTTGATTTCTCCATACTGCTTAGTCATACTGATTTGCATACCATAGAACTTTCCAGAATATTTTATCAAGTCACGCATTTACTATGTAATACTATTCAAAAGGTTATGTAAGCTTCTAGAATGTTCCAGAACACTTTATGAATATATATAAAGACTCGCCTATGTAGTAATAGGAGTAATTGTTGTTGTCGGAGCGACGACTGTTTTGAAAGCTCTACCGAGAGAGAGTTACTGGGGAAAATTGCTCATTTCAAGGAATTTTGGCGACAGCAGTGAGATTGCGTCAGTAGTGAGATCGTGTCAGTGGTGAGCTAGAACATGTGGTGGGCTTAATTAAGTTTATTAACGATAAGTATTGTACTGCTTCTAGGAGTCGCTCCTTGTTAAGAACATTATTCGCTGTTTAATAAAGTAGTTTAGTTTGTGGGATTGAGTGTTTTTCTGTGGGTTAGATTGTATCGTTACATTCTGTATAACACCACAAGAGCTAAGGGCTGCAGGGTGGGAAAGGGATATGCCCTTGGGTAGAGCGTGATAAAAAGCTCAAACAATAACTTGCGAGGCCTTTGTTTCTTAACTTCGATCTGAGAAGTTAATGGGCTAAAGTGGTATTTCCTATGGGAGGAAGGGTGCAAGATCTCATTCAATAAAAATCGAACGGTGTACGCTTCTCCGCTAATATTACAAATATCTAATTTTTTTTCGCTACTGGAAGTAAATGTCGCGAGAACAATAGGCATTTTGCCCGATGCTCTGATTTCGGCAGAATGTAAGAAATTTTTTAACACAATCGTGACCAACTAGATAAGAGAGCAAACATTTGGACTCAAAATCCAACGTATATTACTTTACTTAAAATTCTCACAACACATACAGCACAGTTATGCTAGAGAAATGATCGTGAAAGTGCCTGCGTGTAAACTTATAAACTGCATACAGACTGCATGAATCCTAGAAATAAGCCTTGAAGAGTAAAAGAAAAAGCTTTTATCAAGTAGTTAACAACTGTAGTGCAGTTTATAACAAAGAACTTTCATTTGTTTGGTTGGCTCGTAATTCAAATTGCTTTTAAAACATCTTAAAGAGTAAGTAAGGTTAGGGTATGGGTGGAAAAAAATACCTGTAATTTGGTTCTCACACTTAGTTAAACCCCTTCTTTTAAGTAATTTGTCACGAATTAAATAAAAAGTTATGTGTAGAAAAAGGCATCATGACTAAAACGGTTAAGCGGAGGATTGCCATAATTCAGTTTGAGGAGGCATATATTTCATACGTTGTTCAACTCTTGTATTCAAGGTGCCACAGGGATCACTGTTGGTGCAGTGGTTGGATCAATTGCCGCGCTGGCTGTTGCTGCTGGGATATTTGTCTTTTTCGTATGGAAGTGGAGAAAGAACTCAAATGGTAAGAGTAGTATTAATGCCAACTCTAGCTCCCAAGAAAAGTCGCGTAGTATCAAGCAGCTGAAAACATTTTATGTTTTTTATAGTCTTTTTTAAAAATTCGGTATGTCACTGGATTTCGAAACAGTTCTAATAAATCTCTTTAAAAAAAAGATATTGCTGACTAACACCGTTATATTATAAAAGATATAATGAAACTTTTTAACTGAAAATGATTACTCTCTAAACTTCTAAGATTCCCTGAAACAAACGTGGCAAATGTGCGATGAAAGAAAATTAAAGAAAATACGACTCAAATCCATTGCAAACAACACTGAACAAAAATGGAGTACGAGAAAGTGTCCATATCAATTTTCAGTGTCAAGGTTTAAGTCTGTGTAGGCCAGATTACCTGATATTGCGAAATAACGCGCAACGCGCGCGAATACCATAAAATGTAGTTTGAGAATCAGAAACAGTTACGTGGCATGCCGACCAGAGTATCACTGAAGCCTCTGGGTGTTTAGGTGAGGCTGGGTGAACACGAGAAATCTCCTCTATAATCTGTTGCGTTTATGAAATACACACATATCCAAAAATTCACGACCGTGATTATATGTTCTCGTTTGATTGGGTTCTATAATTCTATGATTACAATTATAGCCCTAGACCTGGTGACCACTTTCTACTGAAACTGACCATGTGTAGAATGAAATAAATGTCTGAAGACATCATTCTGCATTGCCTTGGAATTATTTGTTACTTTCTCTTAATATACTTTTCGAGCTGGTTTTTCTTTGCTATCTTCTCACTATACGTTTTTCATGTTTTTCATACTTTTTTATTTTTTATCGTTCTAGAAACAAGAAGAAGAGAGAGGTGAGATTTTTAGAACGATGAAGTATCGTCCGATTTCATGTCTTGTTTTTGATATCGATTGTAAACTGTATACAACTGTGAATTTCAAGCATGGATTATGATAGTTACGCCTAGAGCAGGAGCTTCATCTAAAGTCAATTTCCCAGAGCATCCGTAACGTAGTGTCGTTAAGACTACTCACGAGACCTTTTGAGAATGGACTATTCAGAGATAATTATCTTTCCTTAGGGCTAGTCCACTCAATGAAAGGCACAGATGCCTGGTTCCTAATCTTATGAAACCTTTTTTGAGTCAGTGCAGCAGCGCAAAATGTGGCATGTTGTCACTAATCCTTTCATGACTAATACTTAAAGAGTGCCTAAATGTGTGCTTTCCTAGCTGAACAAATCGTCAACGTGCTTCTTCCGATTGAATTCGGATGCGACCGAAAACGTGATTTTCTTTTTTACTTTTAGGACAAACAGAGATACAATTGAGGAAATAGAGAATGTTTTTGTAAGTCGCTTTAAGATTTAACTCTTAACCTTATTGTGGTACAATACGGTATATCATTTTTTTGTCAAGAAGGCACGGTAACGAATCCTTTAATCTGATTGGTTCTTAGCGCAGTCCGGATTTTCCTACCTCTGCCGATGGACACAGTAACGCTTTCGTGGGTCACGGAGTATATTCCTAGCTTTATTGCAATTTTTTCATAAATGTGTGATGTTTTATCGGCTGGGCAGCATTTTTAAGCACGGACTTCGGTCACAATCTTAAGCCCTAAATTTATCAATAATTATTTGATTCCTTGTTCTCAAATCAATTTGTTCGTTTGGATTACTGTTCCGAAGTTTGCCTAGAAGTCTTCTAATTCACCGTTATCGTTACGCAAATAGAAATGTTTTGGTTAAGCGTAAATCTTTAATTTATTTCCTTTACCTTTTACTCGCTGTGACATTGTTTAGTTTATGGAGGATCTTCCCATAATTACAAGCACCTTTGGGTTTAAGGAAAAAACGAAAATGTTATATACTAGCCTTGTTCGTTCCTTATTGGGAAAGCCTATGCCCTCTGTCTTGACAAAGAGCTTGAGGATAATATGTCTGTACTTTGACAGAGATTGGTGATCTAAGTTTACGTCGTTCTCCATTTCAATTGCGTAACTACCAAACAAAAAAACTTTTAATAACATGGCTGGAGCTTTATTCCCTTTCTTAAGTGCGATACGTTTTGTGTCTTTGAATAAAATTTACCTTGCTGACAAATTCGTTCAAATTTGATTAAATTATTTCTTACCAGCGGCGGTTTGTCTTTTATCTTCACTTATTCCGTGTTCGTATCTGTACCACCCTCGCTCTGCAATAATATTATTTTATAAAATGCTTCTCCAGTACATTGTACCACTCAGAGACGAAGCTAACACCACCACAAATCAGAACGATCATCAGTGTAATCTGTAGGAAACAGAAGAACAAAATTGAAAGTTTAATACGAGCCAGCACCTTTATATTATTATTTTTTAATTTTTTACTATCGCACTTCAAGTAGTAACTCCGAAAGAATGGAAGATAGTGCCATAAGTGGTCATGAAATTCCTACAGGAAACAGCTGAAGAAAATTTAAAATTTAATACAAGCCAGCACATTTTATTTTTCTACTTTTATATAATTATAATGATGATATTATGCAACACATTCCCAAGAAAACTTTGACATGAACCACGGAATGAAAAAGAAGGTAGATTTGAAAAACGTTCCGCTGTAGCCCTAGTTAATGATTCCTTTTATTATTTTAAACTCAAAAGACTGAACTTGAGATGGCGGAAGCTTCTCAAAGCCATCAGTATATGGCATTGGATGAGAGGAATCGGTCACCGGCGAACTGTCCACAACCGAGCCAGTCCGTCACTGAATACACCTCTACATATTCATCAACACGCTGTTGGGAGATTCCTACAGAGCATGTGACTCTAGAAAAGGTCGTTGGTAAAGAGGCTTTTGGTCAGGTTGCCAAGGCAACAGTCATAGGCCTTCAGGAGAAACCAACGAAGACACTTGTGGCTGTTAAGATGTTGAAAGGTATCAAATACTTCAAATAATAGGATGTGTTTCAGTGAAATTCCAACGGTAACACTCCCCTGGAAGGACTTAGCCTTAGGCAGGTAGCCTAAGATTCAGAAAAGATTCAGCCTTCTTCTCAATCCTGAAGGTAGCAAAGTAAGCCTAATCTCCCCTCCCCCCAGCCCTTCCTAAATGGGGAGAGTAAGGTTCATTTAGCAGTAGTACAATCAGCGGTCAACCAAACGTACCTCAGTTAGTTGATCAGGATCGTGAGACAATTTAAAACCAGCTACCAAACAGAACATGAATAGATATGGACGTGATCCTCGTAGTTATGAACACTATTAAAGTAGTAGTGAAAATAACGTCTACTTAAGCAGTGTTCATAACTGCGAGGATCGATTCCATATCCAGATCGTTTCCTCAAACGTAGTTCCCTTGTATGATTTTCATATATTTACAGTCATTTATAGACCATGAATGAGTTGACCAGACCTGCGTAATCGAGACATGACACGACAAGCTTCTCACGTGGCCTCAGCATGAAACTTGCTGGTGCAGCGCCCTCTGATATCCGAAGCCGTACAATTTTCTTTCAAATTTATCAGAACTATATCTTTTCCTGCAAGAACATAACGACAGAGACGTTTATTTGTAGAGAATTAAATTCTCGCCAACAATCGACACTCCTCCCTCCCATCTTTTGAAAAGTAGCAAACCTCTGTTTTTCCGAATTCAAATTAACATAAGGGTGGTCCCTTTCAACATTAAACCTCAGCGGGAGAAGGAAAAATGTCTCTGCTAAGCGTATGCCTCTTAGCAATTGTTTGGTTGAAATCTTACGCTAATTAAATTCAATATCATTAAAGCATGGTGATACTGGTATAGCAGTGGAATGAAGGGTTTTGTTGCTATATTTGACGACTGAGAATGATGTTTGAAATTTATAGAAATTTATATTTACTTGCAGAGTATTACAGTATTGTGATTTTAGATAGGATGTTCAATCACTAAACAACACGGACCTCAAAGTTCGGAAGGAAATGTGCCACTTATTTTGATTCAGCAAGTCAGAGAATATCAACTGATATTTTCTGAGGTCCAGTTACTGATATTGCTTTTAAAGGTAACAGCTGTTGGATGATCATCTTGCAGATCACGCCTCTGAGTCGGACAGGAAGGACTTGTTGTCCGAACTTCGATTGATGAAGGAACTCGATGCTCATCCTTATGTTATTAAACTTCTGGGATGTGTCACGAAATCTGGTAAATATGGAAAAGTATAATTTAATCGCCCAAACAGCCAAAACAAAGAGCAGATCTAGGGCTTAATATAAGCATATTTCCCTGTTTACCATGCTTTTCAGGGCCCTTGATGGTGTTGATTGAATACGTACCCTATGGAGATCTACTGGGATACCTCAGAAAGAGTCGTGGATTAAATGATACTTACTTCGAAGACCCGGATATCAAACCACAAAGTAATCTGACGTCAGAGCAACTGATGAAGTTTGCGTGGCAAGTTGCCGATGGAATGTCGTATTTGTCATCGATACCAGTAAGTAGGAACGCAATCTCTAGTTACTGAACTGTTTCTTTGGCATATGTTGCTGAAATATGACATAAGTCATTACTTTTCATTCTTTTCGTTAAATTATTCTGGACCCCTCAATTCATTAACATTAATGATTTTTTTAAAATTGTCGTAGATTATCCATCGAGACCTTGCAGCTCGTAATGTGTTGGTTGGAAAAGGAGAAACGTGCAAAGTAACAGACTTTGGTATGGCCAGAGACGTCAAAGAGGAGAGCATTTATCAACGGAAGTCTAAGGTACCGAATTTGTTCTCTTAGCTAGAGATCTGTGAACAGTCTGCTGTGGGTGAAGTTGTACTTGTCCTTGATCATGATCTTTTCCTCAGTTTTTCCGACCAATTCTATGTGTTTTTAATTTAGGGACATCTTCCTGTTAAATGGACTGCCATTGAGGCATTGCTGTACGGAAAATATTCTACAAAGAGTGATGTGTGAGTACAAGGGCTTCATAAGGTCCATAAGCAAATTGGGTAAAGTGATTGGATGTCTAATGTATGTTATGCATTGTATTTTTTTAAAATTGATGTGGAGATGTGGAGGCATCCTATTTAGAAGGGGTGGTAATACCCTTTCTGGCTTTGAGTTATAAGTAACGGCCCAAGTCCCGCTCCTATTACAAGTCTAGTGTGCTTCCCACGATGTTTTACCGAAGATGTTTAATTTACCTTTTTTTAACAGTATAGACCAGAACGTTTATTTGCTTTAATGCATCTCGTCTGTTTTACAGATGGAGCTACGGAGTTCTCCTCTATGAGATCTTCACGATTGGTAGGTGGCGAGATTAATAACCAGACTATTAAGTTTAGCGTCAACGTGTCAACAAAAGTGGCATTTGTGTTGACACTTGGTCATGAAGTAAGCATGGTGTACCATTCTCTGAGGAATTCAGTTTTGCCTTTGTGTTTTGTAACTGCCAGGCCACCTTAGATTGCCTCAGTCGCTGAACTTATTCGAAAACAAACAAACAAACAAACAAATAAACAAGGAACAATGGTGGAGGAATTATATTGTAGAAATATATTTACAAGTGTCAGGCCCTTGAAGTGTATTGAGAGTACCCGCTTTATTTTAGGTGGTTCACCGTATCCAGGGAAAGATGGAAAAAAAATGGCAAAGTTGCTAGAGGAGGGATACAGAATGCCTAAACCGCAACATGTGGATGAGAAGTTGTATGAAAAGATTGTGTTGTTATTGTTATTTTCTTTGTACGTTCTTATAGCGGTAACATTTAAGTTCTTCTCGTGAAAGTTGCGCATGCAGCTCAAAATTAAACCTGTTTTTCTTTCTGAATGAGCTTACTTAGGCGAAATATTGTAATGAGTCAATGATCGCGAGTTTGTCTCTTGTGTTCATTAAAGAAAGGAATAAACTTTCCTACTGTATATTGCAACATTTTGTGCCTAACAACATCCTAACAGAGGGCAGTAAGAACGTATACTGATATATCCTTGACGTCTTTGTGTTTCAGGTATGACATCATGACAAACTGTTGGAACGACGACCCTAACTTGAGACCATCTTTTGAAAATCTGAGGAAAGAACTCAAAGAAATGGAAAACCGGCACAAGGTAGATTTGTAGAGCTAATTTTGATCGTTTTAAGTTCCATCTGGCTTACGCAGGGTGACTTAAAAACGCAGAATATCGTCTACTTCAGGGTAGCAGATTTTGGGTATTATAGTTTATTATGAAAATTACGGAAGTTTCGAAGCTACTTTACCTAAATATGAGGTAACAATGATATAACAGGATTCCACCCAGTGGCCTTGCAAAAGTTCCAAAGCTTGTTCACAAAACACGGAAGGGGAGTATGTTTTGTTCATAGAATGAAAACCCAAAGTAAATGCAAAGTTGTATTGAGTTAGTACCAGTGTAGTGCTTCGAACCTTTCGTTTAGTCTCCAGAGAGGTACACTACAATATTCCTTAGCTTTTTCTTTATTCTTTTCTGATATCGAAATTTAGAATCTACCACTGTCAAATGCATGTGATAATCGTGTGACTACGAGGTGTTCGAGCGTTGCAGGTCTATTTTATTTTGGTTATTTCCAAGTATATTTTCATCATCAACACGCTCTTTACGAAGGACGAAAAGTCAGTCAACCCTTTTTTTTTCTGCAGGGGCTGATAAACTTAAGCAATTACGACGATCGACTCTACGTTAATGTTGACGATCTTGCTGTGTAAGCGTATGCATTGTTATGGAGCAAAGGATTAAGTGATAAGTCTTGCAGCCCTAGGAGATCGTATGCTATTTTCTCTGTGTATTTGAAGTTAACCTTTCATCGTTTGTTAATACAAAACAAGCTGTCTAACAGCGAAGGGAGGAACAGTATAACTTTCCTTTAGTTTCATGTGTATCTTTTAGTATTTTTGTCTTGAAAAGACACACGATTTTTTAAATATTTTTACAAGTGATATAAATTAAAATTTTATTTTAATTTAGTCTGAAACATTAAAATGTTTCAGACTAAATATTCATTTTTGTGTACAGCGTAAAATTGTTGAGGAATTTATGAGAATAATAGTGTTTTTATGACATTTATTTGACGGCTGTTCTGTGAATTGCACTCTAAATCAAAGGATTGTTAATTAAGCTAATGATTGGACAAAGTCTTTTTCTTTTGTTATTTAAACAATTGTTTTTCGCTCAAATTTTTTATGTCAGGTTGATAAATTTTATTGTGTTGTACAGCAACGAAAAAATCAATAAATAGTTTCCGTTGGTGACCACGATGGGGCGTTGAAGTCTTGAGCGGCATCCAGTGTTAGGGAACCCATTTCCGCTTTGAATGGGTATTCTAGTTCGTGGCAAGAAGAACTGGCCAAGATAACACCGATCGTCACCGGCCGCTTAAGATTGCGTATAGAAAAATGCAACTGCATTGGAATATAGTTTCCATGAACATCAAGATGAAGCCGATGAGGAACACCAATTATAAGATAGCGGTCATTTTTGCTTATGCGAAGTCTCGGAACATCAGGAATACGTCATATTCTCTCTTTTACATCAGTTTTCGGGGAATTTATCAGAGAGTTTCAGCTGAAGTTATAACTACAATGAGGTTTTTTTTTTGAAAGTCCTATTTTCAAACTGACCGAATCAGGGATGAACGAACTTTCTGCTTTGAAGCAAGAGGAACTCAGCAATAGGGATTTTTTCCCTGCCCCTTTCGACTGTGTATAGAAAATCTAGAGCCCTGTAATACATGTTAAAACGTGCCATGGGAGGAACACCTATTGTAAGATGACTACCGTTTTTTTCTCTCGTTTGTACAGCCCAACCAAGGCCGCAGATATTAATGAACCGTACAAACATCGTTGGCACGTTTGAAGTGTCACAAATAAGGAGTGGGTCAAGTGTACACCACACCTATGAGCTTTTACCCTCCCCTTACTTAGCATTTCAGCCCAGGCGGTGTGCGCACCCTGATTACGTTTCATTGTGGAAGCGTTATCAGAAAGTGAAAAGGCAGAAAGCGGCAGATTTTGACAAAACAATCCTTCAAAGTTAGGCTTTATCTTTTTCCTTTAACCATACTTTATCGTAATTTGACTCACACAGAATCGGAAGAAGTATGTTTTGTTTGTATTTGTCGCGTACTCAGTTGGAATTCAAGGACAAACGAAACGTTGTTTAGTATGGAATTTGAGACCGGTTTTTCTAAGATCTAATTTGCTTTACGTCATAATTTGAAGCCTCTCAAAGATTTGGATGACCATTTTAACCTAATTTAACAACCCTGATCAAAACGCTTCAAAAACGCTTTCCAACGGTATTGATGTTTTTATACGTGTTTTGTACGTGTTTTTATTAGCGCTAGTGTTTGAGATCGGTTAGGGCCGCTAAAGGCCTATTATTATTGCGTTACATAGCGTTACCATTTTTAGGTGATTGTATGGTAAATATACTATTGAATAAAGGACGGTTGAAGTAGAGCAATGAAAGGACTCACTTGATCTATGAATACTCTATATAGTGCAAGGCGACATTGTACATGACTCCATACACGTCCAATGCACACCAATAGATTCCGATGGAAAACGTGGTTTTTAGATGGAATAGGCAAAATTCTATCCGTAACACCTTCCAACAGAAAAAAATGATTCGGCTGGTGGAAATCAACACTTATGCCCGGTGTTTTTTAGTCCTTTCAGTTTTTTAATACAGAATCTCGAAGTGAAATGTTCAGTGAAATCCGGCCGAATTGAAAGACGCGAGTTTTTTCCACATGACAATTAGAAACTGGAACATAGAGATTGCTCGCGATAAATGCGCTCGCGATAAAAGCGCCGTAAAACTCGGCTGTTGTGATGTGGCCTTCTGCCCAACGCATCGGAAAGGATAATAAAGCAAGCTCTTAGTTGTTTACTCGAAGGGCGGCCGTTGTAATTTCTGAGACTTGCTTCACTCTGATGACCGGAGATCGCCAGAATCAGCTAGCCGCGACGGACCTCAGCATGATCGCTGAGTCTCTCTGACACCGTCATGATAACTAGGAATTTTAACAATTATGCCAGTTTGGCTATATTTTTCATCACTCCCGTTTTGTTCTGTGTCGTTTTTGAACACGAAACTATATATACTATCGGAGTGTTAGCTGTATTTGATGTTTATTACCGTACGTAACCTTGCAATTTAAACGGTAACCAATCTAAGCGATCATAAAAACCTTCAAAACTCGGACTATCCATTTCGTTTTCTCTTCGAGGATTTTTCTCTCTGCTCACGTTATAATAACGTAAGTGTGGCGCTCGATATGTTTACAAACCTTTGTTTGGTTCTTCTGCTGCTCAGTACTTGACGGCTCGCGTGTTCCGTAGCACAGTTTGGCAAATGGCGTGACAGCTTCATCTCAGTTCTATGTTTTATACCCTGTTAGAGCACGCTCTTTCAATCAATGACAGCGCGCGTCATATCCGATCTTTGTAATAATTCTCATTAGTGCGATCAGTTTTAAGGTGATATTTCCTTATAAGGCCCGGGTCGCACTTGTGAAATTTCGTTCCAAATTGTGTTTGTTTTAGGTTAAAAATCTGTCATCATGTCACGTTTCCTAATGCGACCGGCTTTTCGCCAGTTTGGAAAAAATTGGAAAAACCGACCAAACTTCAGAGACGCCGTATTGCATGGGTGGGGCAGGCTGATTTTGAAAAAATCGAGAAAAACAAAGGAAGCCGCTTCCGGAGCTGTCATCGCTAATCGATTTGACCCATTGCAGGCTGATCCTAACTGTATCGGGGGGAACTTGTAATTATTATTACGCACGTGCTTCGGAATGGAAGGACGATATCCATATTATTATCCGCCCGGATCTTTTCCTGTCGACTTCAGGTACTACAACCATCCCCAGGCTCGACCAGACTTGCAACTGCCAGGGCCTAGCGGTGTTTTGGCAGTCGGAGACCCAACTAGCCGATCCATCAGCCCAACAACAACATCGAGCAATAGCCCGAGTGGTTCGACCGACGGAACTGTGAACGATGCCCTAGATGTGAAAGCGGAAGATGCTGCTCAGTCCAATAGAAAGCAGTACGATAAATGGACAAACGAAGAGCAGAAAGCACTTATAAACCTTTGGACTGATCGACATGAGCGTTTGGAAAGCAAAGACGCGCGGAAGATTTGGGAAGAAATTGCGCGGGAGATTAATCGAAGGTTTGGTACCACTCGCTCTGGAAAGAAATGCCAGAAGAAAATATCTCATCGAGAGATACAAAAAGGCCAAGGATTGGAACAGTCATCAGACGGGTGGACACAGATGGAAAACTGTCTTCTACGATGAAATAGATGCTGTTCTTGGATGCAGGGACGTTGTTACGTTACGTAACGTAGCCGAAGCGGGAGTGAGTGCATCAACTTCTGCCGCCAAGTCCGACGTAACCGAGTCCAAGTACAACGAGTTACTAGGACAAGACACAAGCCCAGAAGCTCGAACGGAGCGCAGAAAGAAACGTAAAAGAGCTAGACCTCAAGAAGGCGATGAAGAGGGAGACCTGATTAAAGCGTCCTTGGTAGGAATGGAGAAACAGCGAAAGGAAATGAACACAATGATGGAAAGCTTTACAAGGATGCAAGAGCAGCAAGCTAACACAATGAATGCACTAGTTGGGGCCCTGACAAATTTCTTACAAAATAGCGGCAACAACAACAAATGACTGAAACAGTGAATTTGCATCAGTCTTATATAGAGACAACGAAGCGTTACAGTTCTTTATTTGAAATACATATATTTGTTACATTGTCGCTTCCGGAGAAGCTGTTTTACAAAACATGATTTTAAAAGCACTCAATGACGGACCTCGATTTATTTCGGAGTGTCTGGACGTTTAGACGTCAACATTAACCGTTATAGTTTTGACTTGAATATATTGACATATATTTTTTCAATTGTACAATGTTATTATAATTGTATAATCTCATGTGTGAAGAAATCATTTTTTTTAGCAATGGATCATTGTTGAAAACAGAGTGATAATAAAAAAACCGAAACCAAACTTTGGGCAGCTTTAGTGTGGGTACACGTGAAGGTTTAAAGGAAGTCTTTAAGGATTTCTCTTATGCTATCCCCGTCTCCGATCACGTTTGGAGCTTGATCTCCAGGGCCAAAATCATCTTCCTCTTCCTCGTCGTCCCATTCATCCCCGCTTCTGATGCAGATGTTGTGCAACACTGTACAGGCTACAGCATTACGTACTGCAAATGGTATTCCACTGTCAAATCGTTTCAGGAGTATTCGTGTTTCGCCTCTCTAATCTCGGGCCCAAGATACGGAGAATTGTTTCGAACGTGTTCCTGTTCACCCTTAGTTGCTGTCGAAAGTACTTCTCTGGAATTGCCGGGTCGTTATAATGGACATCGAACCACGATTCGGCTGGCCGAGGAATAGTCCACGCGTAGGGCCTATTACGAACTCGACGGAAACGTCGTCGTCTTCTTAGAAGAGCAATGTTCAGCATTTCAAAATATTCATTTGCCCATCTCTGATACAGAATGAAAATGGCGAACATTTGCTGCTGTTGGATGTCAATATTTTGAAGAAGTAAAACGGCAATAGCCACGCAAAACGCCTGATTCGCATTCATGTTTCCTAAAATACATTTGCCGCGCAGTTCGCGTGTCTTGATCTGAAATCTGATCAGTGATATGTAGTCTTAAATTGTAGTGCGACCCTGAAAATGTTCTCAAATTTTTGGCACTTCCGTTTGCGGTTTCAAATTTTTAGAAATTTTCGCGTGGGCCAATTTTTGTTTTCGACTGTAGTGCGACCCGGGCCTTATTCATAAGTTCTTTATGTTAGGCAAAGCCGGATGAGATTATGCAAAAAAAGTTATTTTCTTCTTTGTGCTCCTAACTTTGCTTAGCTAATCATTCTCACCGGCAGAAATAACTCCCGAGATATACTTCCCAAAACTGTCATCTGGGTATCCTCCACTCTTTATGCGTATTTTGAAACTCTGTACGCTTTTTATTAAATGTGGAGCGGGACGAATTCGTTCCTAAGAGGTGCAGCACTTCTCCTTTTACGAATTCTTTATTTGCGCCTGATGGATGAAACGTATAAAAATCCGTGCATTGGAAGGTCTTTCTGTCTTTGTAGTGTGTTTGCACGTCAAGGGTCGATTCCCAGTTAAATATCTTTCGTCTAGGAACGAAATTTCTGACTTTTAATATTTATACAGCCATCGGCTGTGGGTGTAACTGCTGTCATATGGGAATAGATTCTCAGCAAAACTACGATTTGGATTCTTTCTGAAACTCGTCAAGTGCCTCCTTAGAATGAATTTGTCACGAAGGAACGTCTGGAGTCGCGCAGGCCCGTCAACACATTTTAACTTTCGGACGATCGGCAACAAACAGTGAATCTCTGTTACATTCCATGTATTCACGCTATTCTCGCTGCCACAAAAGATGTTCACACGCTTACGACTGCCGCACGATGCAAATGACTTACTTTCCTTTTACGTCTATGATGCAACGTAACCAAAGTGCACACATCGCCTGCTCCACCCAGTTCTGTGGTTACTGTTTCAGACCTTTTCTGTATGGTAATTAGACTTGGGCATATTGGTCTTCCGGCCTCGCCCTGGTGTCATCTTTTGACTCTTTATAAAGAGATGAATATGTCTCATGTGACCACTAATCGCTTAAACCTTGATGATGAAGTTATTCCGTGCAACTTTAGTTCTATGGCTAATCGCTATTTTGCGCGAAGTTTCAGGAGAAGCAGGTAAGAGTTCGCATCAGACGACTGAAAGGTGTTTTATTCCTTGAATGAACCTTTTAATTATATTCAGCAAGCAGTCAGTTCGACAAGTTCTGCCGCGCTACACGACTCCGATGCGAAAGCCACTCAAGCGGCCGAGCCAAACAAAATTCATAAGAAACATGTTTTTGCATTTTTCCGCGATTGTGCTCCCACGGGTTGTTACCACAATTAATTGTTACATGGCTTCGGTAAATCCTGAACTTCGTGTAACTCTGACCAAACGCCTGAAACAGAGTCAAACTTCTCCGTGCCACACTTTTGAGCGTTAAGTAAGCTACCCGTGTTAAATGAAAGAAGTAGAATGCTATTAAAGGCGGTTACATTTCTTCTCTCCGTTTATCACTGGAAGGCGAGGTCAGAGCGCCCTTCATGAATCGATGTTATAACTGTTGTGTATTCTAGACGATGGACTTTGACCAAAAACTCGATCTTTGAGAAGGGCGTTTCAGTTGATACTTCAACCTTTCTCAGCGTAAATTAGGGTAATTTAAACATCATGCGAATTTCGAGCTTAATGAGATCGAAGGATCAACGTAAATGACCTATTTTTGAGGCAGCATCAACTTTCTCTACTTCTTATGTTTCATATGTCTGGATACAGACCAGATAATTTTAGGCTGTTATGTATTTCGCTTCAAAATAACTTTAACTGGATTTCCGCCAAGTGATTAATATAAAACTGAAATATAGTTCCATTCACGTAATATATAGATTTCGTCAAGCCTAAAAGCGGAGCTCTTTTTAGTCACATGCAGTATTTGATGTCAGTATCAGTTGCAATTATATTCTATTGAGCGTGACTAATAATTTCGGTTGGGGAAAATGAGCCAAAATTAAAGGAGAGGGTAACGAAACGACTTCGAGTAAAGACATCACCAGTCGATGAGAATAGTGGTTTCGTAGAACAATACGCAGAATTGTATGGGCTTCTCATATATCTTCTCTTGAAGTTGCAAGGTATGACCGCTTGCTCCATTGTTTTTTCCTTAGCGTTCAACCTCCTTTGACAAGCGTAGGAAATTAATAAGAAGAATCACTTTTAACTGTCCTCTGGCTGGAAATACAGGACTTCTCTTTGAGATTTTTTCTGTTATTAATTTGATAATATCTCCCGGAATTGCATTTAATGTCAGTGTCTTCAAACCAACTGTCCATGATCTTCGCTACTGAAAAACGAAATTTTTCTGTCATGTTTCTCGCGCTGCGAAAGTTTGATTTAAAGGAAGACAAGCTAGAAATAGAATATCATAATTAAAACTTGATGATGAAGAGAGACTTAAAATTTGTCCACGAAGATATTTGTAGAAACCTAGAAAAAAAACTAGGATTTCATTTGTACATAACAGAAATCAATTCAAATTATCGATCAAGTTTTTTCTTTAGTTTTAAAGTTGATGTTGTTATTAGCCACAATAATGAGGTTGAAAAGTTCTAGATGGTATTCTCTCATGTTTGCAAATAAATGATTTTTATGGAAGGTGGAGTTGTGGCAACATATTAACATGGAACACAACAATAAATTTTATTGATCTGTAAAAAGTTCTCATTTGACCATCTACTGGCAAATACTTGTTATATATTTCACCCCAACCATTTCCCACAACTTGTAGACACCATTACGAAATAACTAGTCATGGAACTGGAAAATGTGCAGCATGTCCAGAATAAGGTAACAAGATTAAGGGGTGTGTATGTGGAAATAGGCTCGGTTGTACGTGTCATTCATTTGCTAATCGCCCCAGTTGCCAAAGTTTGGATGAAGATAGGTTGTCAGGGCAAAGGTCTGAGGATTTTAGGAGGCCAGCAGATTTGGGAAATATTCACAAGGGAAGAAACTTGTCTATGCCGAGAAACTATCATTGTACAGAGCCATACTTGTGCTTGGTAACTCATTCTTATTCTAATGAAGTGGTTTTAGGAAGGATACAATACTTATTACATAAATTTGATGCATAAGCTCTGCACAAAACTTTCCTGTGCTTTTTATTCACGCTTGGCGTTATGTGATGATGATCGCCATGACAATTTTAACGGAAGGTCGTTCTTGTTTACTGGTCTTGATTGAGAAGAGTCGAGCACGGCGACGTGTTGACCCAATTCAGTTTAATTACACCTCATTTCTATAAAGACCTACTAGATTATTTCTCGGAAAAACATAAATTTTCCCTGACTTAGAGTGAAGTTCCCCAGACTTTTCCCTGACCTAAGGCAGCCTCATTTTCCTGACCTGATTTCCTGACTTGTGGATACATGTAGAAGGTAAAGTAGAATCTGTACTCGAGCCAAGTGGTCTATCCTGTCAGAGGTTATACCGGTTTTCGTAGCATGACGCGACTAGAAGCAAAACCATGGTCAACCCTCAAACGAAAGTTTGAAAGATCAGGAACATTCATTGTGAGCTAGATGCAAGTGAGTCAGCCGCTGATTCAGAGGCAGTCAGGGCTACTTCATTTGCCGGAGTACCCTTCTCTGCGTTTGAGGCTCTCCCGTTGGAGTCAGTGAGGAAGGTTATTGCGAATGCACCCACGAAGTCATGTGTAATTAATCCTCTTCCTACCAGTGTTGTTAAGGAGTGCTTGGATGAACTGTCACCCGCTATATCGTCCAGTGAAAATCTCTCTCTCGAACAGGGTCATTTCATGGAAAGGAGCGCTGGTCAAGTCCAAGCTCAAAAAATCTGGTCTGGAACTTGATGAGAAGAAATATCGACCCGTAAGTAACCTCCAATTCTTGTCTAAACTTGCAGAGAAAGCAGCCCAACAAGCAGTTATGGCACGCGGGCTTTTCCCTGAGCTGCAATCGGCTTATCGGCGGTTCCACAGCACCGAGACTGCGTCACTTCGTGTTGATAATGACATCTTACTTAAAATGAACAAACGACATGTAACGTTATTGGTCTTCCTTGACTTGAGCTCTGCATTCGACACGATCGATCACACGGTATTGCTTCGGCGTATTGAGGATAAGTTTGTATTTTGTGGAACTGTATTGGAGTGGTTTCGTTTGTACCTGTCGGGCAGATTCCAACAGGTTCTAATAGAAGGTGCAACTTCTGACAAGTTTGACATCAGCTTTGGTGTACCGCAGGGTTCCGGCCTCGGTCTATTATTGTTTTCCATCTACACGAGTCAATTGTTCGACATTGTCACTCAACACTTACCCACAGTGCATTGCTATGCCGACGACACAAAGCTGTATCTGGCTTTTCGACCAGGTGCTCGTGCCTCTCAAGATTCGGCTCTTGCTGCAATGGAGGCTTGCATACGAGATGTACGGGAGTGGATGATCAATGATAAGCTCAAGATCAACGACGTTAAGTCTGAGTTTATTCTTATTGGCACTCAAGCGCAGTTGAAGAAGGTGGATAGTGACAACTTAGTTGTAGGAGACTCATATGTATATCCCCCAGTACAGACTCAATTAGAAACTAGGGTACCTGGTTTGATGCCAACTTTACAATGAGCACGCATGTTACAAAAAAATTGCAAAACAGGTTTCTTTTACCTCCATAATATCAGCAAGATAAAAAAAATTCTTAACTTAAGAAATCACGGAGAATTTAATACATGCGTTCGTTACGAGAAGTCAAAGCCGATGAACAGACATTATACAAATTGGCAGATAGCGTGACAGATTTTACTCAGCTTCGTGTTTTGTACTCTGATAAAACATGCTCTTCTTACCAATGAAAGTGGGCGTTATATCCGAACTTTATTACAAAAAAATTTATAACATTCGTCTGCAGAAACTCTTTTGGAGGAACCGACTAGAACAGGCGTACGGTACTGGACTATCTTTAGAGAAAGTAGAAGCGGAGCAGGGGTGAGTTACTTGATTTTGATAGCCCATGTCGTAAAAACGTGTATTATTAAACATTACCTTTGTCGCTATCAAGTACATCTATGCATATTTTGTAATAATAATCCCCGCTTACCAAGGAAATCAAGGTAGAGGTTAAAAAATTGGAAAATGAAGTAGGCGATAGGCGGTTGAAATCCAAATATATGTGGGCAGGGAGAGAGAAAATATGAGCCCGGAGAAACCAGCACATGCACAGGTGATGTACAGTAGGTGCTCTAAAACTTTTGTAACTCAAGCCTCTACGTTACTCAAACCAATGCTAATTTCTCATGGATTTGGTCCAGGCATGTACTGTATTTTTAGTTAAGATAAGGCACATCTTATGTGCAAAGAAAGTGAACTGAAGAACAAATGGTCACCTAAAATAAGAGAGTTTTGACTTACCTTAGGACCTATAGTCATATCAATCAAGAAGTAAATAAGAAACATTTTCCTTTATTTGTTATGGTATTGGAAACAAAATATTTATAGGAGCAATAGAGAACTTTCTATACTCTCATCTAAACACTCGATTTCCTTTTCAGATCTGTTGTGTCAATTTTTCAACAAATTAGCACTGGGACTAATTCTTTAGGATGAACTTCATTAAACTCATTTTTAAACAGTAGTTATATAAACTAGATAACTAATGTTTTTTCCCTCTTCATCTTGAACAATTTCAGTATCCTTCTTCCCATCCTCCAATAAACTTGAACTTCCTATGACTTTACTTAGCATTTCAATAACGGAGAGCCAATTATAAGTCAGTGACAATTAGTAGTATTCATCATTCCAAAGAGATCAAAGCCTAAATGTATGAAACAGTAAAGTTTTTGGTAAATATCACATGAAAAAGCACGCACGCTGTAAAATAATGCCATTTAGAGTTTATTATAATATGTAATTTGATAATTAGATTTTGTTATTCTAGAATTATTGATTCATGTTGAACACAGTTAAAATATCAGCCCATCTGATAATGCTCCATACTTGCCTGACACATGTGCAGAAATTTCCAGTACAGTGTACGTTCAGTATATGTATGTTGTGCACAGACCATCACTTTCGAAGTGAGTATTTTACTCCTTCACGATTGATCAATAATTGGATTTTTATTCTCTTGCAGTGGGATCGTCCTATGAGGGTGTCGTCTTACTTCAGCGTCTGTGATATTGCTAACACGATTGAGGAACCAAAGAACTGGTTAATAACAAAGTTCATTAACATCAAGAATGCTGCACGACTCGATGTTGAAGTGACCTATATCCTCCTTAACTGCTCCTTAGCTGACGTGGGGCCATTCTGCAGAACAAACTTCTCCCTGTATTCTTATCATACTGATTACAAATTAAATCCAGATCCAAAACTACTAAATTTCCACAAAGAAACTGTTATAACTCTAAAAACTCTATCTGCGCTTCGAGAGCGCGCAAAAAACATATTTTATGGGTCAGTTTTAACAAAAGCAAAGGGAATTTATTTAGCGTTATTAGACCAAGGAGCCTGCCTGGCAATAACAAAATTTGTTGTGAGATATCGTTTCTGCTCTGAAACGGTCCCTTCCAAAATGGTTAGATTTTCAAGAACAGTTGCTCCAGCAAATGACAGCAATTTAACCAAACAAGAAGGAGAATGTGCAGATCCTAACTCGATTACGAAAAACAACAAAAAGTTATTTGGCGTGTGCCTTAGTAATGGGGAGTGGAACATTACAGATAACTTAGCCTGCCTTTGCAATTATGGCTATGAATTGACGAATGGATCTTTCACATGCAAAGGTTAGTGCTGCACTTAAAATCTGGATTTGCCTCCGAAGCGTTGGGTCCAAAATTTAATCATTTAAATGGTTAAACATCTAAATGACCACCCCGTTTATTCATCGTTTGATAAAAAGCTTAGAGAAGCTTCGATGCATAACTTACATGAAAATGGACCGTTTGGTCATACATGACATGTTCATATAAATTCAAGCGGTGGACGTAGATAAATAAATCTATATTTATGAGAAGTGCAGCTGTGCAGGGAGATAAGTTGAATTTCGACCTGGTCTACAAAGAAAAAATCCAAATTTTCGAGTTCATAAAAAAATACAGGTCTTCCAATTCATAAATCCTGTCCCCCCCCCCATTTGTCAATTTTTGTCGGTCGATTCTTCATTTCCTTTTTTGGTTTTGCAAAAATACGGGGTGTTGATTTTAGCGTCTTCGTTTTCGGGTCTTTGTTTTCATGTCTTGGTATTTAGGTCTGAAAACCCCAGGTTAGAGGTTGCACTAAATTTAGAGATGCATGTTATTCAAAAACCTGAATGACGGTCATTATGAGAGTCGTAAGGAGTGAAGACAAAAAGAATTGTCTGGGTAACCAAGCCTCTGCTGATGACTATTGCCAAGGTTATCAAAATGTCATAGACAGTAGTCATTTGCATGGCAATAATTTTTTGCCTAAAAAGCAGGTTAGAGGGTCATTATATTGATGTGTTCTGAACAGGAGAATATCAGTTGATATTCTTTTGGCTCTGAAGGAAAGGCATGTTGATGAAATTTTACATTGTTTCATTTTAGAGTGTCAGAGAGGCTTCTATAAGGATTCTGTTGGTAATGCAAAATGTGTACCTTGTCCTGCAAATTCAGCATCTAATACTGGCAGAGCTGGTTGCACGTGTAAAGAAGGTTACAGCAGATCATCTAATATGGCAGATTGTGAAGGTATACTTTATATATATATATATATATATATATATATATATATATATATATATATATATATATATATAGGAAGTCTGCAAGTCGATTTTCGCGTGGAACAGTGCTCAATACGTTGAAGCAGAGCAGGATAAATATTATGAGAGGAAAAAAGGGACGTAACTACATTTCCCGACAAGCCTGTTTCGTGAATCGCTTCACTCTTCAGGGGTTTAAACCCTTGAAGAGTGAAGCGATTCACGAAACAGGCTTGTCGGGAAATGTAGTTACGTCCCTTTTTTCCTCTCATAATATTTATATATATATATATATATATATATATATATATATATATATATATATATATATATATATTAGTGTTTGGTCTTTTCCTAATCATTATCGATTCATAAGAGTCCCAAGGCCTAAAGAGGATCATTTCGGTTTTGTCTATGAAAATTCAAAATGTTCAAAGGAACAAAAGGCTCTTCAGTGTTACGTTCTACTTAATGCTTAAAACATCGATCAGGATATATGCGTAATTCCTCCCACCACCAACACAACAACAGCATAGTCTGTTTTGGCTATGAGAGAAGTCTATTTCCTAGAATAATAAAATTGGAGCGAACGAGGAAGCGAAATCTCTCTGCCACCTCACCTGAAAGGCCTTAACAAGAAACGGGTGGGTAGGCGAGAAAAACAACACCACTTGACAAAACACTGTTCATGCTACTAGAGCACTAACAAAACTGAAACCAGGTACTATAACCGATAAAGAATAGACAAAGGTGTGTCGCGTGGCATGTGGCAATTAATCGCTTTGCGCAATAGCTCCCAAAGAGGGAATATTGACCAACGGTTCGGTCAAGGGTAATATCCAGCCATTATGATCGAACGAGCTTGGTCAATAAATGATTTATCGTATCGGGTAAAAATATTTCGTTTTGATAAGAAGCAAGAATAACATCTATTTCCAGAGCCGAGAGAGAAAGACATCTGTGTTTGTAGCACAATAAACCCACGAGGGTTTTTTTATGACTCTCTTCTGCCGTTTTTTGCGACTTCATCGCCGACATTGCCCAAAAATAACCGCTCCATGTACCTCTTCCTCTTGCGCAGGATCAAACACAACGATCCCTAACGGTTTCGGTAGCCAGACAGAACACGGGACTCGCCTCATATTACCTATGGGTGCTGCCAGCGATATGAAAAATGTTATTATGATAAAGTAACCTACATGTATCATGCGTGTAAATGTCAGAAAGAAACCAGACTAGTGTAGCTAAGAACCTCTCTTGATAGAAAATCATGCCCAAATTATTCTTGCTCCTATAGAGGTGAAAGGGCATGCTTCCCCTTGAAACTTTAAAAAATACAGTCCTCTTTGATGCCATTTCCAACATATTGACCTGATTGTTATATTTTTAACCCCTCAGTGAAAGCGGTCGGCTCTTAGTCCCTGTTTACATTCTAGATAATGGTATTTACTTTAGTGCGGGAAATGAAATGTTAATCATGATATGCAATGAAGTCACAAAATATCAACAAGTCTACGTTCATTTGTGTCTAATTGCAGTGTCTTTTTATTCACATGTACAGTCATGGTAAAAGTACTGATTAACATAACCATGGTCATCACCAGTGAAAGTTGTACTGATGGGAAATACGACATATTGTCATTACTGACTAGACTCAAGGAAGTGGTAACCATTTTTTTAGAGCAATATTTCTATTTATATCTTTATTTCTTTCTTCTATTTCTGCCGTGGCACATCGTACAGTTAAAATTTTAGTTTTGGCTTTCGTTCGATAATGGCTGGCTATCAAAAGAAATAGAGACTTATTTTAATGAACTAGAAAATTCCAAATGAGCCTGTTAAGCACTTGCGTGGGCATGCTATGAACGTTTATAAAAGAGGTTTTTCATTACAAACTGGTAATATTCTAAATTTTTTTGTCGGTGAACATTCATATGTTTATCTGATTGTGTGTTTAAGGTGCTGGATGAACTCCTCGAACTCCTGTTCAGTTTCACTTTTCTGTTCCTTCTTTAGATGGAAGACGCTTTTGCTTGGAGATTTGCAGGTTTCAAAAGTGTGCAGTTGAAAAGTAACATCAGGTTTGTAAATTGCCTGGATCAGCAAATGAATTATAATTTTCCGGTTTCTGAGGCACTTCGCCTTGTAATGACCCTCGTTTTTTTGTCTTAATCAAGGTGTGAAGGTGTAACTTTTTACCTTGCACTCATAATCGATTCCAAAGTAAAAGAGCAAGATGTTATAATAGTACTTCGTAATGCTTCCAGAGATGGAAAGCTTGGAGACTTCACTGTGAGTGCTATAAAAAGGACAAGATTGCAAATTGACTTCGAAACTGGAACTACTGAAGCAGGCACAATAACGTCACCTGGCAGTAAGTTTTAATCCTTCGATACAAACATCACAGTTCATTGGTAGCAGAAATCTTAGTCCATGATATGCTTCAATTGGAGTGGTTAATCATGGAATGAGATTTAATCACTTTCAAGCGAAACACACACACACACACATTATGCACGCTGCACAAGTATGTTCAGCATCTATTTGGAACATTCTTCTTGTTTATGGTATCCATGTTGATGTACTTGGTTGTATTGATCTTTTAAAACATCATACATATACATCTTAGATCATTCTTGTTATGAGTAATTATTGTAAATATACACTTCTTGATTTCTCCAGACTGCTTAGTCATACTGATTTGCATACCATAGAACTTTCCAGAATATTTTATCAAGTCACGCATTTACTATGTAATACTATTCAAAAGGTTATGTAAGCTTCTAGAATGTTCCAGAACACTTTATGAATATATATAAAGACTCGCCTATGTAGTAGTAGGAGTAATTGTTGTTGTCGGGTAGTGAGATCGTGTCAGTGGTGAGCTAGAACATGTGGTGGGCTTAATTAAGTTTATTAACGATAAGTATTGTACTGCTTCTAGGAGTCGCTCCTTGTTAAGAACATTATTCGCTGTTTAATAAAGTAGTTTAGTTTGTGGGATTGAGTGTTTTTCTGTGGGTTAGATTGTATCGTTACATTCTGTATAACACCACAAGAGCTAAGGGCTGCAGGGTGGGAAAGGGATATGCCCTTGGGTAGAGCGTGATAAAAAGCTCAAACAATAACTTGCGAGGCCTTTGTTTCTTAACTTCGATCTGAGAAGTTAATGGGCTAAAGTGGTATTTCCTATGGGAGGAAGGGTGCAAGATCTCATTCAATAAAAATCGAACGGTGTACGCTTCTCCGCTAATATTACAAATATCTAATTTTTTTTTTTGCTACTGGAAGTAAATGTCGCGAGAACAATAGGCATTTTGCCCGATGCTCTGATTTCGGCAGATTGTAAGAAATTTTTTAACACAATCGTGACCAACTAGATAAGAGAGCAAACATTTGGACTCAAAATCCAACGTATATTACTTTACTTAAAATTCTCACAACACATACAGCACAGTTATGATAGAGAAATGATCGTGAAAGGGCCTGCGCGTAAACTTATAAACTGCATACAGACTGCATGAATCCTAGAAATAAGCCTTGAAGAGTAAAGAAAAAAGCTTTTATCAAGTAGTTAACAACTGTAGTGCAGTTTATAACAAAGAACTTTCATTTGTTTGGTTGGCTCGTAATTCAAATTGCTTTTAAAACATCTTAAAGAGTAAGTAAGGTTAGGGTATGGGTGGAAAAAAATACCTGTAATTTGGTTCTCACACTTAGTTAAACCCCTTCTTTTAAGTAATTTGTCACGAATTAAATAAAAAGTTATGTGTAGAAAAAGGCATCATGACTAAAACGGTTAAGCGGAAGATTGCCATAATTTAGTTTTAGGAGGCATATATTTCATACGTTGTTCAACTCTTGTATTCAAGGTGCCACAGGGATCACTGTTAGTGCAGTGGTTGGATCAATTGCCGCGCTGGCTGTTGCTGTTGGGATATTTGTCTTTTTCGTACGGAAGTGGAGAAAGAACTCAAATGGTAAGAGTAGTATTAATGCCAACTCTAGCCCCCCCTAAAACAGTTTATGTTTTTTATAGCCTTTTTTAAAAATAAGGTATGTTACTGGATTTCGAAACAGTTCTAATAAATCCCTTTAAAAAAAAGATATTACTGTCCAACACCGTTATATTATAAAAGATATAATGAAACTTTTTAACTGAAAATTAATACTCTCTAAACTTCTAAGATTCCCTGAAACAAAGGTGGCAAATGTGCGATGAAAGAAAATTAAAGAAAATACAACTCAAAATCCACTGCAAATAACACTGAACAAAAATGGAGTACGAGAAAGTGTCCATATCAATTTTCAGTGTCAAGGTTTAAGTCTATGTAGGCCAGATTACTTGATATTGCGAAATAACGCGCAACGCCCACAAATACCATAAAATGTAGTTTGAGAATCAGAAACAGTTACGTGGCATGCCGACCAGAGTATCACTGAAGCCTCTGAGTGTTTAGGTGAGGCTGGGTGAACACGAGAAATCTCCTCTATAATCTGTTACCTCTATGAAATACACACATATCCAAAAATTCATGACCGTGATTATATGTTCTCGTTTGATCGGGTTATATAATTCTATGATTTCAATTATAACCCTTGACCTAGTGACCACTTTCTACTGAAACTGACCATGTGTAAAATGAAATAAATGTCAGAAAACATCATTCTGCATTGCCTTTGAATTATTTCTTACTTTCTCTTAATATATTTTTCGAGTTGGTTTTTCTTTGCTATCTTCTCACTGTACGTTTTTCATGTTTTTCATACTTTTTTCCTTTTTTATCGTTTTAGAAACAAGAAGAAGAGAGAGGTGAGATTTTTAGAACGATAAAGTATCGCCCAATTTCATGTCTTGTTTTTGATACCAATTGTAAATTGTATGCAACTGTGAATTTCAAGCATGGATTATGATAGTTACGCTTAGAGCAGGAGCTTCATCTAAAGTCAATTTCCCAGAGCATCCGTAACGTAATGTCGTTAAGACTACTCACGAGACCTTTTGTGAATGGACTATTCAGAGATAATTATCTTTCCTTAGAGCTAGTCCACTCAATGAAAGGCACAGATGCCTGGTTCCTAATCTTTATGAAACCTTTTTTGAGTCAGTGCAGCAGCGCAAAATGTGACATGTTGTCACTAATCCTTTCATGACTAATACTTATAGAGTGCCTAAATGTGTGCTTTCCTAGTTGAACAAATCGTCAACGTGCTTCTTCCGATTGAATCGGATGCGACTGAAAACGTGATTTTCTTTTTTACTTTTAGGACAAACAGAGATCCAATTGAGGAAATAGAGAATGTTTTTGTAAGTCGCTTTAAGATTTAACTCTTAACCTTATTGTGGTATAATACGGTATATCATTTTTTTGTCAAGAGGGCACGGTAACGAATCCTTTAATCTGATTGGTTCTTAGCACAGTCCGGATTTTCCTACCTCTGCCGATGGACACAGTAACGCTTTCGTGGTTCGCGGAGTATATTCCTAGCTTCATTGCAATTTTTTTCATAAATGTATGATGTTTTATCGGCTGGGCAGCATTTTTAAGCGCGGATTTCGGTCACAATCTTAAGCCCTAAATTTATCAATAATTATTTGCTTCCTTGTTCTCAAATCAATTTGTTCGTTTGGATTACTGTTCCAAAGTTTGCATAGAAGTCTTCTAATTCACCGTTATCATTACGCAAATAGAAATGTTTTGGTTAAGCGTAAATCTTTAATTTATTTCCTTCACCTTTTACTCGCTGAGACATTGTTTAGTTTATGGAGGATCTTCCCATAATTACAAGCACCTTTGGGTTTAAGGAAAAAACGAAAATGTTATATACTAGCTTTGTTCGGTCCTTATTGGGAAAGCCTGTGCCCTCTGTCTTGACAAAGAGCTTGAGGATAACATGTCTGTACTTTGACAGATATTGGTGATCTAAGTTTACGTCATTCTCCATTTCAATTGCGTAACTACCAAACAAAAAAACTTTTAATAACATGGCTGGAGCTTTATTCCCTTTCTTAAGTGCGATACGTTTTGTGTCTTTGAATAAAATGTACCTTGCTGACAAATTCATTCACATTTGATAAAATCATTTCTTACCAGCGGCGGTTTGTCTTTTATCTTCACTTATTCCGTGTTCGTATCTGTACCACCCTCGCTCTGCAATAATATTATTTTATAAAATGCTTCTCCAGTACATTGTACCACTCAGAGACGAAGCTAACACCACCACAAATCAGAACGATCATCAGTGTAATCTGTAGGAAACAGAAGAATAAAATTGAAAGTTTAATACGAGCCAGCACCCTTATATTATTATTTTTTAATTTTTTACTATTGCACTTCTAGTAGTAACTCCGAAAGAATGGAAGATAGTGCCATAAGTGGCTATGAAATTCCTACAGGAAACAGCTGAAGAAAATTTAAAATTTAATACGAGCCAGCACATTTTATTTTTCTTCTTTTATATAATTATAATGATGATATTATGCAACACATTCGAAAGAAAACTTTGACATGAACCACGGAATGAAAAAGAAGGTAGATTTGAAAAACGTTCCGCTGTAGCCCTAGTTAATGATTCCTTTTATTATTTTAAACTCAAAAGACTGAACTTGAGATGGCGGAAGCTTCTCAAAGCCACCAGTATATGGCATTGGATGAGAGGAATCGGTCACCGGCGAACTGTCCACAACCGAGCCAGTCCGTCACTGAATACACCTCTACATATTCATCACCACGCTGTTGGGAGATTCCTACAGAGCATGTGACTCTAGAAAAGGTCGTTGGTAAAGGGGCTTTTGGTCAGGTTGCCAAGGCAACAGTCATAGGCCTTCAGGGGAAACCAACGAAGACACTTGTGGCTGTTAAGATGTTGAAAGGTATCAATTACTTCAAATAATAGGATGTGTTTCAGTGAAATTCCAACGGTAACACTCCCCTGGAAAGACTTAGCCCTAGGCAGGTAGCCTAAGATTCAGAAAAGATTCAGCCTTCTTCTCAATCCTGAAGGTAGCAAAGCAAGCCTAATCTCCCCTCCCCCCAGCCCTTCCTAAATGGGGAGAGTAAGGTTCATTTAGCAGTAGTACAATCAGCGGTCAACTAAACGTACCTCAGTTAGTTGATCAGGATCGTGAGACAATTTAAAACCAGCTACCAAACAGACCATGCATAGATATGGACGTGATCCTCGTAGTTATGAACATTATTAAAGTAGTAGTGAAAATAACGTCTGAAAAAAGTTCAGGCCTGTTCGGGCCTTATTTTCTCTTCTACTTAAGCAGTGTTCATAACTGCGAGGATCGATTCCATATCCAGATCGTTTCCTCAAACGTAGTTCCCTTGTATGATTTTCATATATTTACAGTCATTTATAGACCATGAATGAGTTGACCAGACCTGCGTAATCGAGACATGACACGACAAGCTTCTCACGTGGCCTTAGCATGAAACTTGCTGGTGCAGCGCCCTCTGATATCAGAAGCCGTACAATTTTCTTTCAAATTTATCAGAACTATATCTTTTCCTGCAAGAACATAACGACAGAGACGTTTATTTGTAGAGAATTAAATTCTCGCCAACAATCGACACTCCTCCCTCCCACCTTTTCAAAAGTAGCAAACCTCTGTTTTTCCGAATTCAAATTAACATAAGGGTGGTCCCTTTCAACATTAAACCTCAGCGGGAAAAGGAAAAATGTCTTTGCTAAGCGTATGCCTCTTAGCAATTGTTTGGTAGAAATCGTACGCTAATTAAATTCAATATCATTAAAGCATGGTGATACTGGTATAGCAGTGGAATGAAGGGTTTTGTTGTTATATTTGACGACTGAGAATGATGTTTGAAATTTATAGAAATTTATATTTACTTGCAGAGTATTACAGTATTGTGATTTTAGATAGGATGTTCAATCACTAAACAACACGGAGCTCAAAGTTCGGAAGGAAATGTGCCACTTATTTTGATTCAGCAAGTCAGAGAATATCAACTGATATTTTCTGAGGTCCAGTTACTGATATTGCTTGTAAAGGTAACAGCTGATGGGTGATCATCTTGCAGATCACGCTTCTGAGTCGGACAGGAAGGACTTGTTGTCCGAACTTCGATTGATGAAGGAACTCGATGCTCATCCTCATGTTATTAAACTTCTAGGATGTGTCACGAAATCTGGTAAATATGGAAAAGTATAATTTAATCGCCCAAACAGCCAAAACAAAGAGCAGATCTAGGGCTTAATATAAGCATATTTCCCTGTTTACCATGCTTTTCAGGGCCCTTGATGGTGTTGATTGAATACGTACCCTATGGAGATCTACTGGGATACCTCAGAAAGAGTCGTGGATTAAATGATACTTACTTCGAAGACCCGGATATCAAACCACAAAGTAATCTGGCGTCAGAGCAGCTGATGAAGTTTGCGTGGCAAGTTGCCGATGGAATGTCGTATTTGTCATCGATACCAGTAAGTAGGAACGCAATCTCTAGTTACTGAACTGTTTCTTTGGCATATGTTGCTGAAATATGACATAAGTCATTACTTTTCATTCTTTTCGTTGAATTATTCTGGACCCCTCAATTCATTAACATTAATGATTTGATTTTATTTGTCGTAGATTATCCATCGAGACCTTGCAGCTCGTAATGTGCTGGTTGGAAAAAGAGAAACGTGCAAAGTAACAGACTTTGGTATGGCCAGAGACGTCAAAGAGGAGAGCATTTATCAACGGAAGTCTAAGGTACCGAATTTGTTCTCTTAGCTAGAGATCTGTGAACAGTCTGCTATGGGTGAAGTTGTACTTGTCCTTGATCATGATCTTTTCCTCAGTTTTGTCGATCAATTCTATGTGTTTTTAATTTAGGGACGTCTTCCCGTTAAATGGACTGCCATTGAGGCATTGCTGTACGGAAAATATTCTACAAAGAGTGATGTGTGAGTACAAGGGCTTCATAAGGTCCATAAGCAAATTGGGTAAAGTGATTGGATGTCTAATGTATGTTATGCTTCGTATTTCTTAAAATTGATGTGGAGATGTGGAGGCATCCTATTTAGAAGGGGTGGTAATACCCTTTCTGGCTTTGAGTTATAAGTTACGGTCCAGGTCCCGCTCCTATTACAAGTCTAGTGTGCTTCCCACGGTGTTTTACCGAAGATATTTAATTCACCTTTTTTTTAACAGTACGGACCAGAACGTTTATTTCCTTTAATGCATCTCGTTTATTTTACAGATGGAGCTACGGAGTTCTCCTCTATGAGATCTTCACGATTGGTAGGTCGCGAGATTAATAACCAGACCATTAACTTTAGCGTCAACGTGTCAACGAAAGTGGCATTTGTGTTGACTCGTGGTCATGAAGTAAGCATGGTGTACCATTCTCTGAGGACTTCAGTTTTGCCTTTGTGTTTTGTACCTGCCAGGCCACCTTAGATTGCCTCAGTCGCTGAACTTATTGGAAAAAAACAAACAAACAAACAAACAAACTAGGAACAATGATACAGGAATTATATTGTAAAAATATATTTACAAGTGTCAGGCCCTTGAAGTGTATTTAGAGTACCCGCTTTATTTTAGGTGGTTCACCGTATCCAGGGAAGGATGCAAAAAAAATGGCAAAGTTGCTAGAGAGGGGATACAGAATGCCTAAACCACAACATGTGGATGAGAAGTTGTATGAAAAGATTGTGTTGTTGTTGTTGTTGTTTTCTTTGTACGTTCTCGGTAACATTATAGCGGTAACATTTATTTGAAAAGTTCTTCTCGTGAAAGTTGCGTGTGCAGCTCAAAATTAAACCTGTTTTTCTTCCTGAATGAGCTTACCTAGGGGAAATATTGGAATGAGTCAATGATCACGAGTTTGTCTCTTGTGTTCAGTAAAGAAAGGAACAAACTTTCCTACTGTATATTGCAACATTTTGTGCATAACAACATCCTATCTGAGGGCAATAAGAACGTATACTGATATATCCTTAACGTCTTTGTGTTTCAGGTATGACATAATGACAAACTGTTGGAAAGACGACCCTAACTTGAGACCATCTTTTGAAAATCTGAGGAAAGAACTCAAAGAAATGGAAAACCAGCACAAGGTAGATTTGTAGAGCTAATTTTGATCGTTTTAAGTTCCATCTGGCTTACGCAGGGTGACTTAAAAACGCAGAATATCGTCTACTTCAGGGTAGCAGATTTTGGATATTATAGTTTATTATGAAAATTACGGAAGTTTCGAAGCTACTTTACCTAAATATGAGGTAACAATGATATAACAGGATTCCACCCAGTGTCCTTGCACAAGTTCCAAAGCTTGTTCACAAAACACGGAAGCGGAGTATGTTTTGTTCATAGAATGAAAACCCAAAGTAAATGCAAAGTTGTATTGAGTTAATACCAGTGTAGTGCTTCGAACCTTTCGTTTAGTCTCCAGAGAGGTACACTACAATATTCCTTAGCTTTTTCTTTATTCTTTTCTGATATCGAAATTTAGAATCTACCACTGTCAAATGCATGTAATAATCGTGTGACTACGAGGTGTTCGAGCGTTGCAGGTCTATTTTATTTTCGTTATTTCCAAGTATATTTTCATCATCAACACGCTCTTTACGAAGGACGAAAAGTCAGTCAACACTTTTTTTTCTGCAGGGGCTGATAAACTTAAGCAATTACGACGATCGACTCTACGTTAATGTTGACGATCTTGCTGTGTAAGCGTATGCATTGTTATGGAGCAAAGGATTAAGTGATAAGTCTTGCAGCCCTAGGAGATCGTATGCTATTTTCTCTGTGTATTTGAAGTTAACCTTTCATCCTTTGTTAATACAAAACAAGCTGTCTAACAGCGAAGGGAGGAACAGTATAACTTTCCTTTAGTTTCATGTGTATCTTTTAGTATTTTTGTTTTGAAATGACACACGATTTTTTAGAAATTTGTTACAAGTGATATAAATTAAAATTAATGTTTCAGACTAAATATTCATTCAGGAATTTATGAGAATAATAGTGTTTTTATGACATTTATTTGACGGCTGTTCTGTGAATTGCACTCTAAATCAAAGGATTGTTAATTAAGCTAATGATTGGACAAAGTCTTTTTCTTTTGTTATTTAAACAATTTTTTCCGCTGAAACTTTTTATGTCAGGTTGATACATTTTCTGTGTTGTACAGCGTCGTAAAATTCAATTAATAGTGTCTGTTGGTGATCACGATAGGGCGTTGAAGTCTTAAGCGGCATCCCCTGTTAGGGATCTCATTTCCACTTTGAACAAGTCAAGGGTGAATGGGTATTCTAGTTCGTGGCAAGATCAACTGGCCAAGATAACACTGATCGTCACCGGCCGCTTAAGATTGCGTATAGAAAAATGCAACTGTATTGGAATATAGTTTCCATGAACATCAAGATGACGCCGATGAGGAACACCAATTATAAGATAGCGGTCATTTTTGCTTATGCGAAGTCTCGGAACATCAGGAATACGTCATATTCTCTCTTTTAGCAAATTAACATCAGTTTTCGGGGAATTTATCACAGAGTTTCGGCTAAAGTTATAGCTACGATAAGGTTTTTTTTTCAAGTCCTATTTTCACACTGACCGAATCAGGAATGAGCGAACTTTCTGCTTTGAAGCAAGAGGATTTTTTTCCCTGCCCTTTTCGACTGTGTATAGAAAATCTAGAGCCCTGTAGTACATGTTAAAATGTGCCATGGGAGGAACACCTATTGTAAGATGACTACCGTTTCGTCTCGTTTGTACAGCCCAAACCAAGGTCGTAGATATTAATGAACCGCGCAAACATCGTTGGCACGTTTGAAGTGTCACAAATAAGGAGTGGGTCAAGTGTACACCACACCTATGAGCTTTTACCCTCCCCTTATTAGCATTTCAGCCCAGGCAGCGTGCGCACCCTGATTACGTGTCATTGTGGAAGCGTTATCAGAAAGTGAAAAGGCAGAAAGCGACAGATTTTGACAAAACAATCCGTCAAAGTTAGGCTATATCTTTTTCCTTTAACCATAGTTTATCGTAATTTGACTCACACAGAATCGGAAGAAGTATGTTTTGTTCGTATTTGTCGCGTACTCAGTTGGAATTCAAGGACAAACGCAACGTTGTTTAGTATGGAATTTGAGACCGGTTTTTCTAAGATCTAATTTGCTTTACGTCATAATTTGAAGCCTCTCAAAGATTTGGATGGCCATTTTAACCTAATTTAACAGCCCTGATCAAAACGCTTCAAAGACGCATTCCAACGGTATTCGTGTTTTTATACGTGTTTTGTACGTGTTTTTATTAGCGCTAGTGTTTGAGACCGGTTAGGGCCGCTAAAGGCCTATTACTATTGCGTTACATAGCGTTACCATTTTAAGGTGATTGTATGGTAAATATACTATTGAATAAAGGACGGTTGAAGTAGAGCAATGAAAGGACTCACTTGATCTATGAATACTCTATATAGTGCAAGGCGACATCGTACATGACTCCATACACATCCAATGCACACCAATAGATTCCGATGGAAAACGTGGTTTTTAGATGGAATAGGCAAAATTCTATCCGTAACACCTTCCAACAGAAAAAAATAATTCGGCTGGTGGAAATCAACACTTTTGCCCGGTGTTTTTTTAGTCTTTAATACAGAATCTCGAAGTAAAATGTTCAGTGACATCCGGCCGAATTGAAAGACGCAAGTTTTTTCCACATGACAATTAGAAACTGGAACATAGAGATTGCTCGCGATAAATGCGCTCGCGATAAAAGCGCCCTAAAACTCGGCTGTTGTGATGTGGCCTTCTGCCCAACGCATTGGAAAGGATAATTGAGCAAGATCTTAGTTGCTTACTCGAAGGGCCGCCGTTGTAATTTCTGAGACTTGCTTCACTCTGATGACCGGAGATCGCCAGAATCAGCTAGCCGCGACGGACCTCAGCATGATCGCTGAGTCTCTCTGACATCGTCATGATAACTAGGAATTTTAACAATTATGCCAGTTTGGCTATATTTTTCATCACTCCCGTTTTGTTCTGTGTCGTTTTTGAACACGAAACTATATATACTATCGGAGTGTTAGCTGTATTTGTTGTTTATTACCGTACGTAACCTTGCAATTTAAACGGTAACCAATCTAAGCGATCATGAAAACCTTCAAAACTCGGACTATCCATTTCGTTTTCTCTTCGAGGATTTTTCTCTCTGCTCACGTTATAATAACGTAAGTGTGGCGCTCGGTATGTTTACAAATCTTTTTTTTGGTTCTTCTGCTGCTCAGTACTTGACGGCTCGCGTGTTCCGTAGCACAGTTTGGCAAATGGCGTGACAGCTTCATCTCAATTCTATGTTTTATACCCTGTTAGACCACGCTCTTTCAATCAATGACAGCGCGCGTCATATCCGATCTTTGTAATAATTCTCATTAGTGCGATCAGTTTTAAGGTGATATCTCCTTATTCATAAGTTCTTTATGTTAGGCAAAGCCGGATGAGATTGTGCAAAAAAAAATTATTTTCTTCTTTGTGCTCCCAACTTTGCTTAGCTAATCTTTCTCACCGGCAGAAATAACTCCTGAGATATACTTCTCAAAACTGTCACCTGGGTAACCTCCACTCTTTATGCGTATTTTGAAACTCTGTACGCTTTTTATTAAATGTGGAGCGGGACGAATTCGTTCCTAAGAGGTGCAGCACTTCTCCTTTTACGAATTCTTTATTTGCGCCTGATGGATGAAACGTAAAAAAATTCGTGCATTGGAAGGTCTTTCTGTCTTTGTAGTGTGTTTGCACGTCAAGGGTCGATTCCCAGTTAAATATCTTTCGTCTGGGAACGAAATTTCTGACTTTAATATTTATACAACCATCGGCTGTGGGTGTAACTGCTGTCATATGGGAGTAGATTCTCAGCAAAACTACAATTTGGATTCTTTCTGAAACTCGTCAAGTGCCTCCTTAGAATGAATTTGTCACGAAGGAACGTCTGGAGTCGCGCAGGCCCGTCAACACATTTTAACTTTCGGACGATCGGCAAGAAACAGTGAATCTCTGTTACATTCTATGTATTCACGCTATTCTCGCTGCCACAAAAGATGTTCACACGCTTACGACTGCCGCAGGATGCAAATGACTTACTTTTCTTTTACGACTATGATGCGACGTAACCAAAGTGCGCACATCGCCTGCTCCACCCAGTTCTGTGGTTACTGTTTCAGATCTTATCTGTATGGTAATCATATTTGGGCATACTGGTCTTCCGGCCTCGCCCAGGTGTCATCTTTTGACTCTTTATGAATATGTCTCATGTGACCACCAAATCGCTTAAACCTTGATAATGAAGTTATTCCGTGCAACTTTAGTTCTATGGCTAATCGCTATTTTGCGCGAAGTTTCAGGAGAAGCAGGTAAGAGTTCGCATCAGACGACTGAAAGGTGTTTTATTCCTTGAATGAACCTTTTAATTATGTTCAGCAAGCAGTCAGTACGACAAGTTCTGCCGCGCTACACGACTCTGATGCGAAAGCCACTCAAGCGGCCGAGCCAAACAAAATTCATAAGAAACATGTTTTTGCATTTTTCCGCGATTGTGCTCCCACGAGGTGTTACCACAATTAATTGTTATATGGCTTCGGTAAATCCTGAACTTCGTGCGACTCTGACCAAACGCCTGAAACAGAGTCGAACTTCTCCGTGCCACACTTTTGAGCGTTATGTAAGCTACCCGTGTTAAATGAAAGAAGTAGAATGTTATTAAAGGCGGTTACATTTCTTCTCTCCGTTTATCACTGGAAGGCGAGGTCAGAGCGCCCTTCATGAATCGATGTTATAACTGTTGTTTATTCAAGACGATGGACTTTGACTAAATACTCCATCTTTGAGAAGGGCGTTTCAGTTGATACTTCAACCTTTCCCAGCGTAAATTAGGTTAATTTAAATATCATGCGAATTTGGAGCTTAATAAGCTCGAAGGATCAACGTAAATGACCTATTTTTGAGGCAGCATCAACTTTCTCTACTTCTTATGTTTCATATGTCTGGATACAGACCAGATATTTTTTTTGGCTGTTATGTATTTCGCTTCAAAACAACTTTAACTGGATTTCCGCCAAGTGATTAATATCAAACTGAAATACAGTTCCATTCACGTAATATATAGATTTCGTGAAGCCTAAAAGCGGAGCTCTTTTTAGTCACATGCAGTATTTGATGTCAGTATCAGTTGCAATTATATTCTTTTAAGCGTGACTAATAATTTCGGTTGGGGAAAATGAGCCAAAATTAAAGGAGAGGGTAACGAAACGACTTCGAGTAAAGACATCACCAGTCGATGAGAATAGTGGTTTCGTAGAACAATACGCAGAATTGTATGGGCTTCTCTTATATCTTCTCTTGAAGTTGCCAGGTATGACTGCTTGCTCCATTGTTTTTTCCTTAGCGTTCAACCTCCTTTGATAAGCGTAGGAAATTAATAAGAAGAATCAATTTCCTCTGGCTAGAAATACAGGACTTCTCTTTGAGATTTTTTCTGTAATTAATTTGATAATATCTGCCGGAATTGCATTTAATGCCAGTGTCTTCAAACCAACTGTCCATGATCTTCGCTACTGAAAAACTAAAGTTTTCTGTCATGTTTCTCGCGCTGCGAAAGTTTGATTTAAAGGAAGACAAGCTAGAAATAGAATATCATAATTAAAACTTGACGAGGAAGAGAGACTTAAGAGCTTA